AGGAATGAAATATTTTGTGGCTCGGCGGTGTAGTGGATAACACTCTGACGTTTGAAGCGATCGCTCCCGAGTCTGAATCCCGGTGGGAACAACACTCACTGGGAGGCAGGTACATCCAAATTGGACGTTGTGCGCATCCTGGATTCCACTGCTAGCCACTATTTCTCGACCGATAGCTGCTACCTTGACGTGGTGGTCGGTCTTGCATATCACAATGGCCCAACGAGCTATGCTGGTGGAACACTAGTTCCCTCGAGGTCCTACCATACCAGAAAGGTCTATTGGATAGTGGTTAGACGAGGAGCAGTTACCGTTGTGGTGCAAATTACTACACTATGATGGGGGTGTGAGGGCGAAGTCGTGCTGCTGCTAGCTGGATGGGGTGTGATAGCAGTAAGGTTTCTCCCCTGCGATGATCAGCAGTGCAATGCTGATCCTGCTTTCTCAGTGGAACGGGGGAGAGGTTAGGAGAGGTCGGCCCCAAAAATAACACGCTCCACCATGCCCCACGGTCTGCCGGGCCGGCGGTGTTGGTTCACTTGTCGTTTTCCTTCTACCCTCTGGCCCCAAAACAACAAAAGTTCAGAATAATAATACACAAAGGGCTGAGTGTGACAGGCCTCAAGCAGATGTCCGATGGGCTCTGCGGTCACACAAATCTCTTTCAGGTGCCTTGAGAAGAAATAGCCTTCCACGGTGTGGGCAGCCGGGAAGTGTCAACCGCCCTCGCAACTCGATCAGCACTCAAGTCTCCTCACACTGCTATCCACCTCCCCATCATTACCTTCTAATCTTCCTTCACGTCTCTCAACTAACGGTGCTATATCGTCTTCATTTTCTACAAGCTCTATAATCTTCGACAACGATCTGAGTCCACAGAACAGCATCCTTGGTCTGCTTAAACCACGCTCCAAATTACATATTGGAACCTTCAATGTCCGCACCCTCCGTCGAATTGGTCAACAGGCTTCGTTGGCAAAGGCTCTAGCAACTCGGGCCTTGGATGTGTGATATTTGTGAAACACGTATACAGGACCCAAGTGTGGTTATTCATCTGACCTCTCCCGACCAGTCTGGTGGATACTCAAAATTCACCCTTCGAGTTTCTGGAGATTTGATAGCTAGCTCTTGCGGTCTTGCATGTGTAGGCATAGCATCAAGCACTAGGACAGAAAACTCACTATTAGACTGGATCCCAGTTGATAGTCGCCTCTGTGCTATCCGACTGAATGGCACAGTGAGAACTAAAAGGAGTAGTGAAACTCATCGCTGTCTCTTTGCAATCTCTGTTTACGCACCCACTGACTGCAGTTCGGATGTAGTGAAGGATGAGTTCTGTCGTAAACTGTCTAGCCTCCTCTCGAAAGCCAAACGTTCGGACGTGGTGGTTGTTGCAGGTGATTTCAACACAGGTGAGTAGACTGAGTGAGGCAGAAAGGCAATTAGATGCCACTTTCGGAGTCCCGGCTGAGCATACAGATAATGGTGATCGCCTACTACAACTATGCTCAAATAACCGTCTATTTTTAGCTAGCACAAATTTCAGACATAAAAAAAGACAATGTCTGACGTGGCGTCCACCGAGCTCAACTCGGCGATGGACACAGATAGACCATATTGATATTAGTCATCGCTGGAGAGGATCGGTGGAAGACTGCCGCTCCTTCTGGAGTACATGCTTGGATAGTGACCACGCGTTGATCCGAGCACGTATATGCCTGCGTCTCAGTGGACGTAAGAGAATTTTGGCAACAAAACCACTACGAGTGCTGCTGGACAACGAACTTCCGAACTAATGGGTGCACATGAACTCATCTCTGCAAATTCTGAATACAATGAAGAGCGAGCGCAACTTAAAAGTAAGCTGATGAAAAGTCTACGCAACGATCGCGAACAGCGGTGGGCAGCGAAGGCTATAATGATGGAAAAGGCAGCGATGATTGGTAACAGACAGTTATTTAGACTTACTAAGGAAACTGGGGGGGGGGGGGAGGAGGTCAACAACAGTTAGTGAGGCTATAGCGGAGAAGGATCTGCGATTCACTCGCAGAGGAGACGACTGGAACAATGAGAAGAACAGTTTAACTAGCCTCCAGTCACCATTGTGTTGCCGGCTATCCAGTAGGATCTTGAATGGAACATTGAGATAGGTCCCCCAACACTAGCAGAAGTTGCGAAAGCCGTAAGTAACTTGGAATGAGAAAGGGCGGTAGGACAGATGAACTAACTCCTGAGGTATACAAGAATGGTGGTAGAGTGCCATTAATCGGGTTAACGGAAGTGGTAACCAGTATATGAGAATCAAATACGATACCCTCTGACTGGTCTAAGTCACTGATTGTCCCAGTCTTCAAGAAAGGTGAGAAGTCCTCTTGTGATAACCACAGAGGAGTCAGTCTGACGAACATAGTATCCAAAATCCTAGGTTCTATAATTCTCCGACGCCTGAGTGGAGCTCGGGAACAGCAAGCCCGAGAAAACCAGGCAGGCTTTAGACCTGGCCGTGGATGTATCGACCAAGTATTCACACTGCCCCAGGTTTTGGAACACAGACACGCTTACAGACGCCCGACGCTGGCTGTATTTCTCGACATGAAGGCGGCATTCGACTCCATTGGCAATGTCTGTCACTGAAAGGCGTGCCGAGTAAGTACATCACTTTATTGAAGGCTCTCTACTTGGACACTTGGGGGCGTGTTAAAGCCTGTGGTGAGTTGTCCAGGGAGCTATACTCATCGACTGGTGTCCGTCAAGGATGCCCACTGTCTCCATTCTTATTCAATTTTACCATAGATATTCTATGGAGGTCTCCCTCTCGTCCACCAGGCTACACAGACGACCTAATCGGTGGGGAATTTTCGTTGGACCTAGAATATGCAGATGACATAGTCCTGTTAGTTGAAGACGCTGACAAGATGCAGAGTCTTCTGAACACTTTGAGTAGTAATTTGAGAATATTTGGGATGCGTTTCTCACCACGGAAATGCAAATTGTTGCTCCAGGACTGGTCTTCAACGGTGCCTCGGCTAACAATAGAGAGTGAAGTGGTTGAGTGTGTTGACCACTTCACTTACCTGGTAAGTAGGATCAGCCCTGTCCTGGTTGCTCAGTGGCCGGTGAAATCTCCTCGAATGAAAAGGGCTTGGTTGGTTTTCGCCAACTTCCGCCACCTGTGGCGCCGCCGTGATATCTGATTGTCTATTAGGGGTCGCATGTACTGCACGGTAGTTCTCTCTGTTCTACTGTATGGCTGTGAAACATGGCCGTTGAAGGTGGAAGACATGAGAAGGTTTCAGGTGTTCGACCACCGTTGTCTTCGTGGTATAGGTCGTATTCCGTGGTCACCACGTAACTCAGAAGTCAGGTGTAGAGTTTTGGGGAGTTGAGGTAATTTAGTTGACGAGGTTATGAACCTTCATCAACTGAGATGGTTGGGACACGTGTTACGTATGCGTAGTCGCCAATTGTCTTGTCACACAATGTTGGCCGAAGTAGGCGCAGGCTGGAAAAAGGCCCGAGGTGGCCAGACTAAAACATGGCACCAATACATGAAGTCTTTGACTGTTGGTTTGAGCCATGTGGTGCGATGCAGACCATGCGGTTGATGTCCGCGGGACAAGAGGAGCCAGTGGTTGGAGACTGTAGGTGATATGGCTGAGAAACGATGTCATTGGCGCAGATGTATACACACATTATCCTCATCTTAAAGAAGCTATACGAATCTCACTAATTTGGCATTCTTCCTTTCTCTCTTTTCTTACTTTATATTTCCTTTGACTGAATTTTGTTCTTTTCATCTTGCGCCTCACTGCCTTTTTACTTGATGTACTGATATGAGGTGTGGCCAGTTGGACCGTTACTCAATAATGCCTGGTCTTATGTTGATATTGATGATGATGAGATATTTTGCTAGTCGATCGTTTCGACAAGATTTATGGTCAGTAAATTGGTATTTTTTTGGCAGAACTCATGAGTTAGCTGTAAAAGAAAGGCCAAAAATTGATCTACACTCAGCTGTTTCGAGGATAAAAAGTGAGGTGATGAAATATGTAGGCTGCCACATGTTTTTTGGGGAAGGGGGTTATTTTAACTACAGTTGACTGGTTCTGACATCTCAGTTACTTTCAGCAATCATCTGTCTTTACCACTTACAGCGTCAGGTGGATATCCGACTGCGGATCAAAAAATGAGTTTACTACACTGCAGTTTGTTTCATCTTAAGACATAGTCGTAATGCGAAGTTTGACAAGTTAGAGACGGATTGTTTTCGTAACATGAATTTTCAATCTTTAGAGATGTCCTGTTACTTGAGTTAGCCGATCCAGAAGTGTTGTAGTAATACCTGACTGTGAAAAGAGCACTCAAGAGATGCTGATCAAAACTACTGAAGTCCACAGAGCTATGCAGTAACTTATCGAGAGCTATCATTAGAGTGGAGGACTAGGAATATTCACTCAATAACGTAATAAATGGATTATTGGGTGCGACCTATGTATATAGACGATATATCACTGCTACAATATGCTGATGAAATATCTGGTCTTCTGAACGCATTTAGCAAAAGACAATATATTTAGCATGCATTTTATGCCTTTCAGGGGAAAGATAATCTTGAAGGAATCGTTTTCTCCGACTTCCAGTTTTAGAGATAGGGAGTGAAGTAATGAAGTGCGTTGACCACTGTTTTGAATAGATGTATCAGCTTTGATGGGTTTATTGTTAGAACTTTAGCTCCAGTATAGAAGGCACACTTGATATTTGTCGGATTGATGTGCCGAGATATGCACAGCAGTTTGCTCTGTCTTGCTGGATGTCTGATACAAGACCGATAAAAGTGTGGAAGATAAAGAGGTTATAGGTTTTTGATCTCATATGTTTTCGTAGCATTTCTAACGAAGGACGAGTACACTGCGCTGCAGTCCATCATGTGCTATTGTACGGCTGTGAGAAATTACGGTTGAAAGTAGGAAACATGAAGCATTTACAGGGTTTTGATCACAGTTGTCTTCGGACCATTTCTTGCGTTTGGTGGAAGCACCGTGTGAGCAATGGTGAAGTCAGGCGAAAGGTACTGGGAAAGATAGGCTAGTAGATTGGTGATGTTATGAACCCTAGTCGGCTCAGATGGTTTGGACATGTGCTGCGCATACCGAGACACCGCCTACTTCGTGTCATGCTGAGGGAGGTTGGATTAGGTTGAAAGAGGATTCAGATGGGCTAGACCAAGACCTGGCACCAGTCGATGAAGTTTCTTATTGTTGATCTGAGTCGTGTAAGGAGATGTATGCCATGTGACTGGCTGGGTTGCCCGAGACGATAGGAATCAGGGGTTGAAGACTCTCAGTGACATGGCTGAAAATTGGTGACAATGGCTCAGATGTACTCATCACTTGACATCTTATAAGCTTGAATATTTGCATTAACCTTTATCTTCAGATTGCTTATGCTCTTACACTACTTTATCTTCTTTGATATCAGTCGTTTCCTATCCATCTGTTATTTGTATGCTACTGTGGAGTGTGGCGATCTGAGCAGATGCACCTGTGTGCTAGGTTCTACGTTGATTTTGTCAGTCAGTCAGATATCTATCAAGACTCCATCTTAATTTTTATGTGACACCTGGAAAATGAAGATTTGTGTAAGTTCCTAGCTACTGTTGTATGAGTGTTTATCAGCTTCATGTGTTAATTTGTGCTCTATACTCATCAAAAATCATTCAAATTCTCTGAGTATCAAATATATATTTTGCTGTAGTTTATTTGATAATGCCTGAAAGATCTATCATACTTATTCTACTAATTTTTTAAAATTTTTATGTAGGTGCCCTTATGCTCATCGCAATGCTGGAGATACCGAGCGACGTTATCATCCGCGATATTTCAAAACAGGAAACTGTATTTACGAAACAATGGAAAATGGAGCATGTGTTAAAAATGGTCTCCATTGTGCATTTGCGCACGGTCCTGATGATATCCGTCTACCTGTTTATGACATACGCGAAGTTCAGGATGCTTCTTCGAAATTTACTATTAATCTACCAGCTAGTTTAGAGAAGGAACGAGTGTTGAGTGAAGATCCAAAGTGGAATGGTACGTTTATTGCCTGTTGGCTTTGATTTCCACGCATTAATACATTTTGATGTATATCGAATTTTGCGTTGAGGAAGTCAAAATTCGCATTGATTGATCGCGAGAGAGCAACCAACTTCATGTTTTCTAGTCCTGAGTGCACACCGAATTCTATTAATCATATTTGCAATATGGCCACCAATCTTGGTCCACGGCATCCTACCGATTGCCTCCAACAAATATCTACCGATGTGCACCGCGTTGCTGAGCCTCCTAACTTGGTGACCACATTGCAAATATCATCGATAGAATTCGGTGTGCACTCAGGACTAGACAGTAGGAAATTGGTTGCTCTCCCGTGACCAATCAATGTGTGTAATCCAACCCTACAGGAGGTGAATCGTGGCCCGAATAGCTCAGTGGTGACGTCGCTGACTACAACACCGGTTGACACGGGTTCCAATCTCAAGTGGAACATCAGTTCCATCGAGATCGCAGATGCGCCTTGCTGATGCGTGCCAACAGGCACGAAACCTAGGTCTACAACTTGTTGCCGATTGCCTCCAATCAACTAACACTGTGAGACATGGCCGTTAACAGTAGAAGGTATGACGCGGTTACAGACCTCTGACTGGAGATGTCTTCGTTTCACTGCTCGCTTGGGGCGGAATCATGGTGTCAGGAATGTTGAAGTCAGGCGAAGGGTACCAGACAAGGCTGGTAAGTTGACTGATGAGGTTGTGAACCTTCGTTGACTGAGGTGGCATGGACATATGCTACTCATCCCGAGCCACCACTTTCTTCAACATGCCATGCTGGAAGGAGTTGGATTTGGTCCGATCAGGTTAGCCAGAGTGAGATATAGCACCATTGCTTGAAGTCTCTGACTGTGGGTCTCAGCCGTGTAGGGAGATGTAGACTGTCCCCGAGACGGCAGGAATCAGTCGTTGAGGACTCTTGATGACATGGCTGAAAATCGGCGACAATGGCGCAGGTGTATCCACTGTTTGACGCCTATAACTTGAATATTTGCACTAACCGTCATCTTGAAATTGTTTGTTCTGTCACACTATTTTGATATCATTTTTTTCCCACTTAATCTTTGTATACTGCTATGAAATGTGACAACTTGAACAGACACACTTGTGTGCGGTAACAGACTAATACCTCTGTAGTTTTCACGTAAGTTACACAGACTTTTTCAAAGTTACGCTTCTATCCTAAAAGGTATCTAGGGATAGGTTCCTTTCAGTCAAGCATTATCATATTAGAACCTGGAATTACACGTAGCGTTCGCAAGTTTCCACGCTTCACATCATTCCATCGAGGTAGAATGGCACCTGACAAAAAAACTAACTCAACGAAATGGGATTTATTGTTTACGATAAACATAAGACATGAATGCATCTTCACCACAGAGGTAGATCTTGAGCCATATGGCCGTCTTCGAAAATCAGTTTTCGTCTTTCAGGCTCCAAGTGCAAGGTGTACCATATTTAACGACTACTGTCCTACTTGTTGACAACAAGCATTCCTTCCTAAATACCTGTCTTTTGCTTTCTTCAATACTACTTGGATACTTGACTAAAAGTAGTCAGTGCGAGTTTTGAACCTGAAATCAATTGAAAGTTCAATACCTTAGCAGATAATCCACAAGAATAACTGTTGACGACTTTATGAGCACGCCAATGTGGTGTGCTTATTACTAATATTGATTCATGATCTAGGCGGCAAGTATTGTTTAGATGAAGCTTACGGATGCATAATTTTTATAACAATTTCGTGTGGTTGTTTTTCTTTATCGCCCAAATACAGACATTTATCGTCAATGTATTGGTTTAAGGAGTTACATTCATTTGAAGGTTGGTTGTCGCATATACTGGTGACAAAATGAGCCATGGATAAACGGAAGATCGTAAACGTCATAGTTTTTCCTAATTGCTGCTGATTTCTGTTATGCTGTTGTACCGCTTCCATATCAAGTCGTATTCTATGCTTCACTAAAACCCTTTTGAATACACTTTAAACAATTTGATTGTATTACTAAACTTTCCTGAAAATGCATTGTTTTTCTTCATTTAGAAATGTTCCATGTGCTTGCTTGCTATAAGACAGAATTGTGCAAAAAGCCACCGCGAATGTGTCGCCAGGGTTATTCATGCCCCTTCTATCACAATGGAAAAGATAAACGAAGAGCTCCAGACAAATTCTTGTACCGTAGTACTCCTTGTCCTACTGTCCGCCCTGGCGATGAATGGCAGGATAGTAATCTTTGCGATACTGGCGATGCATGTGTCTACTGTCATACGCGAACTGAACAACAATTTCATCCTGAGGTAAGTTTATTATGCAAATGTACAACAAATAAAACGTGATATTAGTTGGTGCCTAGGCTATTACACTTTCTGTAACAAGTATGTCTTCGAATTTTGTAACATGTTGCGTCACGCCATTGTTTTGTTGTGGTATCAGTCTGTGATTTTTGTTCAGATCATATGTATGTGTGTGTGCGTGTGACCAAACTATTCAGCGGAATAATCTGACGTCAATAACTAGGTGTACTGTGTTAACGAGAAATGAATGGCCAACAAAGAATTAGATCAGTTGTCTTAGGTAATAAAATTTTAATGAATTTTTCTTCTTTTTTAACACAGACTTTCGTACACTTTCATACACTTTAAAGCGTCTGTTTTTCATTTGAAAAAAAATACTGAATATTCAACTGACTAAAGACGATTTAACACCTATGAATGATAATTGAGACAGTGCTAGATGTGTTTATATGATGGTTCAAGTATTCATTTGACCAGTTATAGGTTTAAACAATTGCGAAATATTAAGGCGTACATTAATATAAAAGTAAAACATGGCCACTGCAGTCGATTGTAATTCCATTTTAGTTTGTTTATTCGAAATATCACACAGTGAAAGAGTAGCATTTACTGGATACTCTTTCACTGTTTGATATTTCTAATAAACAAACTAAAATGGAACTAAAGCGTGCAATTAATCAATCGTGAATCCTCATCCTTATTATTATTTGTCCCTTGGGTTCCTAGTGGACCATAGGGCTTCAGTAGCACGCCTCCATTCCACTCTGTTTTCTGCTGTCTTTTGAATCTGGCTCCACGACTTCCCACAGGCTTTCATCTCCTCCTCACATGATCTCCTCCATGTCACCCTCACCTGGAACGCCCAACTCGTCCCTCCCCATTTGGATTCCACTCGAGGCCTGGCGCCTGGCGCGTGATGTCCCCGAATGGTCTTTCCCAGTGCATGCCGAGTCCATCTCCACTTCCTTCTGCATATTTGTTCAGCGATAGGTTCTTGGTTGTTTCGTTGCAGGCCAGAGTTCCTTGTTGCTGATTGTTTCTGGTCATCTGATCTTCAGGAACGAGTGAACGTAGGCGGTTGTTGACGAATGACTGTAGTTTGTTGGAAATGCCTTTCATAACGCGCCAAGTCTCTGAGCCATACAGAAGCACTGATTTGACGTTGGTATTGAATATCCGGATCTTGTTCTTTGTGCTGAGTGCAGTAGATCGCCACACTGGTTTCGGGTTAATGAACGCCTGTGTTGCTTTTTCGATCCTGGCTTTGACGTCCTCGTCTGTGCCACCTGTAGTTGAAACGGTGCTGCCTAGGTAGATTAAAGAGGCTACTTGCTTTAAGTTTCTCCCGTTGATGGTGATTGGAGTTTGTTGTTGTTGGTGGTGGCGTTGGTTGGGTATCATCATCACCTCTGTCTTCTCTACATTCACTTGAAGTGCCGTCTTCGCTGCCCTGCCTCGCCTCTTCTGTCAACTTGTTAGTTTTTGCCTGTAGATCTTCGAGTTTGTGTGACATTAAACATAAGTCATATCGACGGAATCCAAATCTTCCACTGGTGTCTTTTCATCGGTCAAACAGCATATCCCCCTCCTCTCTCTCCTCACTGTTTGCTGCATGATCCAGTCGACCACAATCGGGAAGATCATGGGTGATAGTAGGCAGCCTTGTTTCAATCCTGTCTTCACTTCAAAAGCATCACTGAGCTTTCTATTGTGAATTACTTGGCATGAGGCGTCTACATATAGTTGTTGAATGAGGTTGATAAATATTTGTGGCACTCCATAGTGTTGAAGCAAGTGCCTGTCAAATTACTTCTCGGTCGATGCTGTCGAAGGCCTTTTCGGAGTTGATGAAGTTGAGGTAGAGAGTTGACTGGCATTCTACACTCTGTTCTGTGACGACGTGTAGCGTAGCGCTGCAATTTGACCCGCACATGATTTGTACTTCCTGAATCCAGCCAGCCTGTTCCGGTCGTAATTTTGAATCCAGCGCATCCTTTAGTCTCCTCAGGATGATTTGGCTCAGTATTTTGCTTGCTTTGTGTGGACGGGAGAGTGATTCCGCGCCCGTTCTTGCAAACACTTAGGTCGCCCTTCTTCGGGAGTTTGAAGAGGTAGCCCTTCTTCCAATCTGCAGGTACCTTCCCTTCCTTCCAGACCTTCTGCAATAGTGGTGTGAGCGTGTCTGCTGTTGTCTCTGCGTTTGTTCTCAGTGCTTCTGGTGGGATTCCGTCTGGTCCTGCTACTTCCCCGTATTTCAGCAGCTTTATGGCGCTCAGGACTTGTGCTTTTGTTGGAGACCCTGTGTTCACTTGTAGTTCTGTGTCTGCAGGTGGTGGTGGTGGTCGATTCAAGAACTTTTTGAAGTGGTTAGCCCATTGCTTTTTTCCTTTGTTTCTCCCATTTGGTGCTAACTAAGTTCCCTTCACTATCTTTCATTGGTTTTGTCTGTGCTGATTTCTTCCCGGATAGTAACCGGATTATTTGATACCATGTTGTCAGGTCTCTATCTCTCCTACCTGCAGCAGCCTGTTCTGCTTCACTTGCAAGTGTGTCGTGGAAGTGTCCTTTGTCTTACCACGCACTCTTCTTCACTTCTTTATCCAGTGTTTTGTACGTTGTACTAAGTTCTTCTTTTCGTCGTTCATCCTTGCACTGCATTGGCTTATCTTCTGCTTCACCATCCTCCTCTCCCTGCTCTATCAGCTTCCATGTGTCCGTCGAGATCCATTCCTTATCTTCTTTCTTCTTCCTTCCTAATAGGGTTATGCAGGTTTCTTTCCACATCTCTTTCAAAGAGTTCCAGTGTTCATACACACAGGTTTCTTCAGGGATGTTGCTCGATATCTCCCATTTTTTCCTGATGACTGACTGACGTGAAGATTTCCTTTGTGGTTTCGTCCTTCAGTTCAGCTTCTGTTCTGGGTGTTGAACTTCAACTGTGGTCTATCACCAACTTCCTTGAAGGCTTTCAACTTGATTTTGAGGATTCCTCGCACTAGATAGTGTGTGGTCTCAACCACCTACATCTGCTCCCCTTCTTGATCTTGTGTCAAGTAGACTGTGTCTCCACTTCTCGAGATTGAGATGAAGTCGATCTGATTTTCAGTGTAGTGTGTCCATCTGGTGAAGTCGAATCCATGTCGCTTTGTGAATATCCTTGTGTTTATACACACTACCTCCAATCACCAAATCGTTGAATGCTCAGAAGTCTGCTAACAATTCTCCTCGCCTGGTTAACTAGTTCACTAATTTCCAGCCGGTTTCAAGCCCGGTTAAAGAGGGAGGTTTGGGCTTTGGGCTAGCAACCGCACCCCGTAAAACCAGTCAACCGCTACAGAAACTTCAAAGATCAGACAATCGTGAATCCTTGCTAAGATTTATTCATATATACAGGAAATGCTAGGCTGTTAGCTAAGGCTAAGGAGGAGAAACATTGAAAGTTACAAGTGCATATTGAAGTGGCAAATAGGGCGTTCGTACAAGAAGATTGTCCACTGTCGACACTAACACCTTCCGGCATGGCTTAATAAACGTTAACGCAGACCAGTTAACGGCTCCATATTACAAAACTTAGTTGACAATGGATACAGTTGCAGAAGGTTCATTCCTACTAGTCTACAAAGTGCAATATAACCTTCCAAAAAGTGTGAGGAAGCATTTACTTTGCTTTGGTAATACAACATTCGGAGCAGGAATTGTGTATCCTGAAGCGACTTTGCCATTCATTCCCTGTCCTTACTCACTTCTTCATTCTTAAAATTGAAAGTCGGTCAGCTGCACTAGCAGCTATTCTTACTACTAGAATATTTTTCATAGGATAAATAATGCCATTTTGATGTATGTAGTATGTCATATATGTCAGCAATTATTTAGATTACAGGATAGGAAACTAGTTAACGTAGCATATCGTGTTGCCGGAGTATGTGACGACTTCGTTATGTTGTTCTTTGATATCAATTTGTCCGAATTATCGTTTGCTATTTATGTACGCAGTTGTGGCTCATTAGTTTAGGAAGTTGACTTTCAATCAGTAGGTCGCGAGTTGAACCGCCGCCCCACCTACCGAGGTTTCTGTAGCCAGGTGGTATCATTAACCCTGACACTAGGTGTGGCTGATTGCCTACTGCTCGAACACGGACTGGGTGTGCTAAGTGAATTTTGTAAAACAGCTGTTATATATATAGGAGCTATGTTTTACAAAATAATGTGTAAGTGTATAGTTTCACGTTTATTCGTTTAACACTGGAGAGCTATTCAAAATGTGTTTATGGCTAATTTCTACAAATTATCTACCGAACTTTGGTATCTAATACTTCTTGTCACTTTTACTGCCAAGGAACCAACGTCAGTTTTCGACTTCCACTTGATTGATAATTTTATTAAATTGTAAACCTATATATTAGTGTAGAGCCCAAGATGAAGACCTAATTGAAAAGAAATATATTTCTTCGCTCAATCAGTCTTTTTCTAAAATGTCTAAATGGGTATATTCAATGTATCTTATAACTCTTGCAATCTGCTAAAGCGAGGCCACCTAAACAACTGCTGAGGTAGCCAATGACATTTCTTTATTTTACGAAAAACTACCTACACAGCCGAAACATCGAAACCTGATTGTTTCAGCAGTTGCTAGGCTAACCTTTAAAATTCACTCACTAAAACCGTCTGCTTTCGATTAATGCCATGCCGTATAAATGAACTGTGTAGTTTAATAAGAATACCAGGGGAAAATTTTTCGCTATGTTTACCAGTGCTATAACTCCTACTGTGACACAATCACAAGCCATAATTTCGCGTAAACCATGTGATCGCTCTTGTATATTATATATATATATATATATATATATATATATAAACCGTGTTGGAAGATTTTGCAAACACATGTGTACAGTGCTTTCGCCCTGACCAAACCTTTACGTTTCAGTATTATGTTCGATATACTTTTACGCATTGATTTCCTCTCACCATATGCTATAATATATGACATAGGTGTGTGTACACATGATATCTCTGTTGATTTTTGTTAGTACACTTTTTTTGCATCACTCCGTATTTATTAATGATAATAACAAGGTAGTTCATTTTGCAAACATATGAACACAATCTGTTATTTCTCCTCATAGGCATGGGGTTTATCACCTGTTTTTCTGTTATTTATCCATAACTCTACCGCTGCTTACTTTGATTTACGTTACGCGCTAAATTCGCATACCAGGCCAACAGTTGATAATGTAGTTGTATACCAGGGGTGTTCACTACGGATAAGCTGATGTTACTATATAAATAAATCCACATTATGCATCATCACACCAAATATTCCACAAGTACTTATAGTTAAATATAATCAGTACCTCTAGTTGCTATAATGGTCGCTCTTTAGTTAGTGAAACGGTAACTTCATGGATGTAGAGTTATTTTGACTAAAAGTGTTTTGATGACACCTACAGAAATATTCATTAACCGTCAACCTTAAATAGAAAGAATAATTTTGTTCTGATATCTATCACGTAGCAGTTGGGCCAAAACCCGTTGGCTGATTATAAGACCGGTAACCCAAAGCTCGCTGGTTCGAATCCTGCCATTTTCATTTTACCTTCAATCATCACCCAGTAAATATCAATAATACAAGTGTTCCAAATCACGGCTATCTCTGATATTCGAAGTGGTAAGCAGATATATATCTGTTAAGGTATTTCAACTCTATAGCTAAGGTTCAAAAGTTATGTTACCAAGTTTTACGATGTGTCAACAGTCGTACAAACTAAAGGATAGTTATATTCACAGTATGGTTTTATTCCTCTTCTTTTATAAACGACTGAACATTGGATAAAGTTCAGTAAAGAGTCCTGTCAAGATCTAATGATTTACACTAGGGGCTATGCTTTAATCTGAGTATATGGCCTAAGGATAAGACAGCAGGATATCTGTGCCTTATGCTAAATATTGCCTTTATATGCCCATTAATCCCATCTCATCTTTTCATTTTACTTTATTGTATGGTATTCGCGTCCTTCTTATTGGCTTTATCGAAGAGTAGACCACTGTGAGGCATAGTGTAGCAAACTTACACGTGCTGCATTATATTCTGCATTTCATTTCTTCTATCAGAAAAAAAACGAACTAGTCAACTAAAGGCTACTCCTTTATATCCTTTCTTTACTGGTTGATTGTTTTTCTGTATTGCCGTTCAAAATCGAAGGATTGTCTACTTGCATTGTTGAATAAAATGGTGCTGTTGAATTCATTGTAATTCACCGTGTAGCAGTCATATGTGTGTATTTATCAGTTGAAAGTTATCAGTGAACGGAGATTAGTTATTTCATAGGATTGTGAATACTTGCTTTGACCTGTGTTCAGTGTTTTAGTTCAAGCGTGCTAAACCATGAAATTAAAATCGAAGTACACTCAGCTACTCATCCGTACTGCAAGCGATGAGCCATACCTATTGTTTGAGGGCTAGTGGTACTACTTGATTGGTTGCCCAAACCTTGGTAGGTGAAGTGGGTCTGGAACCGGTGAGCCACAGCTCCCCAGTCATGTGTGTATAACAAGTTGTAGTTATGTTGACTAGTGGTAAAATTAATTTATAATCCAGTTGTCAACGCAACTCTTTCGCTCAAAACTGATACTTTTTAAGGAAAGTTTCGTTAATTGCACGAGTCTTTTTCATGGCTAGTTATTTTAAGAGCTGCTCAAAATTAACAGATGAAGTAAGTTGGTTAATTAAGTAATTATACAGTTTTAGATTGTATATTTTATTCTGTGGTTGGATCTTTCAATAATAAATTGTGCTACCTTAGTAAACTGTAAAACTCAAGCCGAACAAACGAAACTACTTATAGACAAATAATGCCTGTTAATTCATAAATTATACTGTTAATGATAAGAAGGTATATTTGCTTGGCGTAATTCACTAGGGTTGTACTACTTGCTGAAGTTGGCTTCGGTTTCATGGGAGGTCATGTTTTGTTCCGCGAGGTTGTAATTAAACAGGTTTCCGTGGGTTTTTCAACTGATGTTGTTGATACATGGTGAAAACTACTAATTTCAAACCAATAAATCCCTAGAAACCAACACGACTGGATGACTGTCATTAGTTGACTTGCGTCGAGATGGATTTCTCAACGTTCTAATGCAAAGTCAATCTGTGAGGTCAGCCGAGTTGCGAGTGAGGCGGATGCTGCCCACCAATAACACTGAATGATTATTGCACTAAATCGCAAATGGACACAAGTAGGAACTAATGAACAATTGAATTTCAACCCAGTGACTGAATGGAGTAAGGCATTTGTTGAGGTCGACTCCGTGTAGGGTCACTGGTGCTCACTGCTCAGGTTTTCAATAGTTCTCCAGATGTCAGTCTGTGACGGAAACTGTTTGGACATTATTTATTTAAAATATGAGCTTTTTATAGCAGCTTAGCATGAGCACTCATAAATGCACTATTTACCAGTGTTTGTACTTTTATTCATTGTTTTTTATGCTCTACTTTGTTTATTGTATCGGATTCAGATATATAAATCAACAAAATGCAACGATGTATTAAATTCTGGTTATTGCCCTCGTGGTCCGTTTTGCGCTTTTGCACACTGTGATACAGAAATGACAATTGGTCGAGATTTCTCTGCAAATGTACAACAAGAACACCAGTGTGCTAGTAGTTGTGGATTACAGTCTAGTCTTAATATGGAGTTGAATAGTTTATCATCCAATAGTCTCATATTATCTAGTTCAACGGCGATGGCGGCAGCACCAACGACACCAACTACAGCAATGGCCACTTCTGTTCCCTGTCGTCATATCCCATCTGCTGCTTTAGGAGTTTCTCATGGTGGAAGTAGTAGTTGCCAAAACCAACAGTATTCTCTTCATTCTCCTAATCAGCATCATCATCATTCAACACCAAGCACTGTTAGTAGTAGTAATTCACGTATTTTAGGCACTAGTAATAATAATAATAATAATAGTAATAGTTTACCACCAAATTTAATGTCTAATTTACATACAAATTTTTCCAATATGACACCTATGCTACTACCATCCGCACAACAACAGCAACAAATAGCACAACGTACACTATCTAGTCATCAACAACAACAACACTTGATGAATTTTCCTTCTCCTGTGGAATTTAATAAATCAAGTAAGTATGGAAACAGTGTTATTATTTCACCTTAACTGTTGTCAGTTAATGCCATGTAGAGCTTGTGGCTCAGGGAAATGATTTTCAGCCGATGGGTCACGGGTTCGAGGCCCACTCTACCTATTGAGGTTTGGGGAACCAGTCAGGTAGTATTATTAGCCCTTACATACAATAGGTGTGGCTCATTGTCTACTGCAAAAATGTACGCAAGACTGCTGAGTACATTTCGATTTCGATTCGACACGTTGACCTCTGATGCTTAGATTTTTATGATTTTAATTATTGTTATCATTAATGCATTTGGTTCTGCGTAAATGAATTCTTAGATATTAAATAAAACAGTGCAATTGTTATTCATGTTTTCTCTAATCACTTTATCTTGGTAAGATGCGACGGATAGGAAGACAAACATAAAATTAACATAGAACCTCGCACATAAGTGTATTGGTTCAAGTTGCCACACGTCATAGTAGTATACAATGAAAAGTTGGATGGAAGAAGACTGATAACAAAATAGAATAAGAAATTTGAAGATAATGGTTAGCGCAAATATTCAAGCTCTAGAAGACATCAGGGAATGAATACATCTTCACCATTATGACCGATTTCTAGCCATCCCACCAAGAGTCCTCAACCACTGATTCCTGTCGTCTCGGGTACCTCAGCCAGCCAGATAGTCAACATCTCCCCACATGGCTCAGACCAATAGTAACAGACTTCATCGACTAGTACCAGGTTTTGGTCTAGCTACTCTGAACCCTCTTTCAACATAATCTAACCTCCCCTAACATGGCACATCGAGGTAGGTAGGCAGTGAGTGGCTCGACATGGGCAGTATATGTCCAAGCCATCTCAGCCGACTAAGGGTCACAGCGTCATCAATTTACTTGCCTATCTTGCCTATTACCCTTCGCCTTACTTCAACGCTGTTTACATGGTGATTCCGACAAAGTCAAGCAATGCTACGAAGACACGTATGATCAGAACTGTATCATCGCTTCATATCTTCTACTTCCGACAGTTGTATCTTACAGGCGTATAATGGGACAAAACGGACTGCATTGCAGTATTCTCATCCTTTAATAGGTAGCCGGATATCTCAGTAGTCAGAGCCGGAGATGGCGCAAGTTGACAACTGTTAAACGGGCCTTCTGTATCCGAGTTGAGATTTCGTCAGCAACTAGACCTTTTGCGATGGAGCAGTTCCCCAAGTAGATGAAGTGGTCGATACATTCCACCACTCCCTATCATTAAACTGATAGTGGTTGCAGATGAGTCCTGGAACATCATATACATTTGACAGGTGCGAGACGCATGTGAAACTTGAATTATTAAGCATAATGTCACATGATTTCTTCACAGTCCCTCATTGTGTAGTTTCATCACAGGGATAAACTTGAATTCATTGCCTAAGAATTACCTCAAGTAGCTGCGTGTGGACCATTCTAGGTGATTATAGTATAACTTATCCGAATAACTAACCGTGACACATTGTCTTCAGTAAACTAGTAGCACTTGTATGAGTCGAATAATTACCTGGTCAAGGAGGATTACCCCCTAGCGAAGCCTGTTAAACAAATCTAGATGTATATCGACTTCTTGTGTGCTATGTACCTACTTGCAACCAAGTTCCTCTACCAGTCATATAATGTCACCATAATGTATACCTGTCATATATGATTCTCCGAAAAACTACACCTGTACCAACTTGTTCCATGTGAGTGCATATAGTCCTGTAAGTTTTACCTCAGGACACCTTGATTAGGATGAGATACGTCACTGGAGTCTTTTGTTACATTATCACATGTAACAACAGAATACGCTAAGTGCTAACTGGTCTTCACATTCTGTGGGAAAGTGACATTAATGTGGAATTCTGTGTCTACTTGGTTATTAAGGAGATATTTGTTGATCAGCAAATAAACAAATATTCTATTTCTTAAAGAGGTTAAAATGATTCGAGTTTTTCTGCCAGAATAAAAAAAAATTGGGACACTGGGTCGTATTTAACGAAATTCATCTCTGCACTCGACTTTCGCTACACTATGGACACTTGTATAATTTGAACTAATGGAGCAAAAGATGTCGATAAAATGTGACTAGTTAGCTAAGTTGGAAGTGCTTTAAGTGGTACAACAAAGTGAATTGTATTGTGACATTGATCATGTTTTGTCAGCTTTCTGACCTTCCCTAGATTCGTAAGCCGTTCGTGTTCTTTGGCAACCAACTGAAGCACTGGGAATGAAAAGATGTGTCACCACCAGTAGCAATCTTAACGATGCTAAAAACGAACAATCAGGTATTTTAGTAACGATAACGAACAAACAAACACCCTTTACTCTAGAATACTGTGTCGTAGATTAATCTTCTCTCAACTTTCTCTGGCCGATCCCCATGTCGACATATAATGCTCAACGCAGAAGCTAGTGCAGTGGTGTGCGCTCAAAGTCTGAAATTATTATTTCTAAGTCATCATTAAATCACATTCCTTATTATCTTTAGATGTACTCCATCAGACTTCAGTATTACGAAATGAGAATTATTTTGCTGAGATACTAATGAATGGAGCCAGTAAGGTGTCAAATCTGATCTAATTATGATGGTTTTATTTTGCATGCATCGAATGAGACTTCCACAAATAACACCTCTCTTACAGTCGGTCTTTTTACTGTGAGGTAAATTTTGTAGGGGTACCGACGGTTAAGCAGACTGCTTTATTTCATTTCCGTTTTAAGTGCATCCACAGGCTGCTATAAATTCAGTAAAAGTACTTAGCATTTCGATCATACAGGGTGTATAGCATCTGTTATGAATACCAATTTCCTGCTTACTATGTACAACCTATGTGACATACACTGTTCCTTATTTGGACTATATTGTCTGGCTACTGAAAAGTCAAAGGGTCTTTACCACCACACACCTTCAGAATCGACTGAATAATGCTCTCAATTACAATTTTAAAGGGGAATAGTGAAACTGGGTACTGTTTCTAATTCTCAGCTGCTTGTTTGGCACAGCGGGGAGAAGTTATTGTATGCCGTCATTCCACACAAGCTGTTTTTGTGTATAGCTTTCGGTGGTGTTAAGAAACATTCATGGGTAACTAGCTTCAATAAGCCTTCTAGCGTATTAAAGGTAACCCTAGTTTCACGAATACGGCAGTGTATGGCAGTAAATCCACTATTTGAACGAAACTCCACTTGGTTAATTCCCCTTGCTTTGTAAAAATGGTTGTTGTAAATCAGTCAGAGGAAAAATTTGAGAATTCCAGACTTGTTTAAAGAATTCATCATAAAGAGGTAGTATTCATCACGAACTGACATCATTTGGGGAACCATTGAAAACCTGATATCAGTCCGAGTTGAATACTACCTGTAAATTAAAATCCCCATTCACCTCACAAACCCACTATATATTTAATATTTTGCATTTATGAGATTTTGGACTGTGATAGTATCAGCTTTATTTTATAGAATTGTGAACCCACTTTCAGTCAACCAGCTAGTAGTCATTGGGCTTAGCGTTTTGGGCTATATGGCGCATAATAGTAACATAAGGCATTTTCCCGTGATATGTTTCAATATGTTTTGAATATCATTTTGCTGTATAAGAAACTGTCACTCTCATTATAGACGAGTGGTATCCACAGAGAAAAATATGGTATCCCCTTGTGTATCCGTTTTGTTTCTCTACTTGTGTATTTTGTGTACGTTTCAGTTACTGCCAGCGAACACTCTGGAAGATGTTCCCATTTAACAAATTCTTTAATGTCAAATGTAATATCACCTCTCAGTTCCGTTGCAAATCATTCGAGTAGTCGTGGTCGACGTGTGGCTCGTTGTACATCTCCGCGTACAACATGTATCTGGCCATCATTTAACCTAGTATCGACTCCCACCACAGATCGACAGCACTTTACTCAGCTGCCAGGTCCATCAAATGCAGACGTTCGAACTGGAATATGTCCTCAGCTAGGTGTGTTATCACCCAACTCGGTCAGCTCGACGTGTTCTCCGAACCAGAATACTCAGTTTTCACACTCACGAAATCGCCCCATACCTGGCCAGTTTCATAATGGTAAGCTTACTACTACTTTATGAAAAACAATATTGAAGCTTTATTTGATTAGTAGCAATATAATTTATCTATTTGTCAAGCGAAAACATTTCTGAAAGTTGGCACAAACATGTTAATCTCAGACTGCCAAATCTTGAAAGGACATATGGACGTCAGTGTTTAACCGCACCTTACACCACTGAAACGACTGACCAGTAAATAATCAACATCTCGAGTAGTTTCTTCGGGTATTTCGACACTCGATGTTGAAGGGAATAAGTAAAGGTAACTCCCGAAAAGCATCAGTTGCAATATGAACTTTGTAGAGCTTTTCACCGCATTATCTTACGTACAACAAAAACTAACTAGAAAAATGAAGAAATTGAAATATTTACTCAACTCCCATCATTCCGTATTTCTTAAAGACCTCCCGGGCCATGCGGTCGATAGCTAAGTCTAAAGGTTATTATATATGCATCACTAATTTGTTAGTAGTGTATTAAATCAAATCAGCCGATCAATATCAACATAGGACCAAGCATCACTGTCTAAGGGTCCAAGCTATCACACCGCATATCACCCCTACAAATGACAAAGTAATAAGATGAAAAATGAATAAAAAAAGGAAAATCGATCGAAAGCAGTAAGATGCAGTGAAAGAGAGGAAGGAGGAGTGAGAAAATGCTGAATTCAGTATAGCAACTAAGATGAAGGTAAAGTGTCGACATATCTGCACCACTGACATCGATTCTTAGCCGTAGAGTCTCCAACCACTGGTTTCTGTTCTTATGTGAACCCCAACCGGCCACTCTACATCTCTCCCAACATGGCTCAAGTCAGCAGCCAAGATTTCACACAGTGACACCATGTTTTAGTCTGCCGATCCGAGCATTTTTCCAACCTGAACACACTTCAGCGAACATTGGGGGACAAGGAAGACGACGGCTAGGCATATGTAACACAGTTCCCAGCCATCTGAGTTGTTGAAGGTTCACGTGACCTTATCAACTGACTTGCCTCTCCTCGCTAAAGTCTACACCTGACTTCTGCGTTGCTAACATGAGGACATTACGGCACACGGTCTAGGTTACGAAGTCAACGGTGCTGAAACACTAGAAGCCATCTCATGTCCTCTGCCTCTAATGGCCGTGTTTTCCAGTTATACAATAGAACAGAACGAACTATAGCGCAGTACACGCGACCCTTAATACGCAATTGGATATCGCGGAGGCGCCACAAGTGGTGTAAGTTGACGAAGGTCAATCGAGCCTTTTGCATCGGTGGAGAGATTTGTTGGTCACTGACCCACTATTAGTGTATGATACTTGTCAGAATGTCAATATATGCTACTCTGATGTTACATCTGTCCACACTGATAATTTGAATTTTTTATGCACGTGTTGCCAGACAAGCTGTTCAGTGTCTTTTCGTAAATTATAGCCTACCATTACTACACAAAGGTTATCTTGGTCAATGATTTCACTAAAGTTTATCATTTTTCTCAGCATTCTATTTCCCATAAATTATTTCGTTATTTCAATAAGTTCTGCTTCATTACCCTAATTGGTTAATGACGATTAAGTAGCGTTATCTGATTTGATGTGACATGCCACAACTTGCACCCCTTTACAGTATACTACCAGGTTTCCTTTTGATATTGACTAACTCTAATGAGTTAAATTCTTTTCTTTTTAAAGCTGATTGGCGTTTATCATGTAGATTGTTATGCAAAGACAACATTCTTGTATCTTAATCTCAACTGACAGGTGTTACCTTAAAATTGTAATTGAGAGGAAATGCATATTGTAGTAGTCTAGTGGAATTATGCTATCTGAAATGCTTGTTTCTTGTGTCTCTTGTGACCACTTTAGGCATTTTAGAAAGTGAGGAAACTAAGAGCAGTTACTGTTAAACTGTGAACAATTTGTACACTGTAGAGGTTGATAAGAGCTGTAAGAACGAACAAGATACTTATATCACCATCTGAAACTGACTTGTGAAACAAACAGATTAAATGTAAATCTAGTTGTTCCAGTTTACTCTGTTTTACTGTATAACTGGGAAACACGGCCATTAGAGGCAGAGGACATAAGATGGCTTCTAGTGTTTCAGCACCGTTGACTTCGTAACCTAGACCATGTGCCGTAATGTCCTCATGTTAGCAACGCAGAAGTCAGGTGTAGACTTTAGCGAGGAGAGGCAAGTCAGTTGATAAGGTCACGTGAACCTTCAACAACTCAGATGGCTGGGAACTGTGTTACATATGCCTAGCCGTCGTCTTCCTTGTCCCCCAATGTTCGCTGAAGTGTGTTCAGGTTGGAAAAATGCTCGGATCGGCAGACTAAAACATGGTGTCACTGTGTGAAATCTTGGCTGCTGACTTGAGCCATGTTGGGAGAGATGTAGAGTGGCCGGTTGGGGTTCACATAAGAACAGAAACCAGTGGTTGGAGACTCTACGGCTAAGAATCGATGTCAGTGGTGCAGATATGTCGACACTTTACCTTCATCTTAGTTGCTATACTGAATTCAGCATTTTCTCACTCCTCCTTCCTCTCTTTCACTGCATCTTACTGCTTTCGATCGATTTTCCTTTTTTTATTCATTTTTCATCTTATTACTTTGTCATTTGTAGGGGTGATATGCGGTGTGATAGCTTGGACCCTTAGACAGTGATGCTTGGTCCCATATTGTTACATTCACAGATTTATAGCGCTGTTAATCTTCTTTTGATCATTTATATCAACATCTTCCCTGTCGATCGACTCCTGCCCTACGTGAAGAGTATCACAGCTAGGGCTTGTAGGCATATATGCGTTGCCCTGTGTTAACCTCTGTTTATCTGTCGTTTACCATCAAGTGCAGGTGTGACTCATTGATTTAGGGAGTCGACTGGTGGGTCGCTGGTGAAAACACCGCTTCACCTATCGAGGTCTGGGCATCCAGCTAGTATCACTGACCTTTCATAAAATGTATGTTACTCATTGCGCACTGCACGAATGAGCACAAAGCTGCTGAGTGGATTTTGATTTTTTCATTTGCCATCAAAGGACATTAGTGCATCGTTTTTCTTATTCAATTCGTTTAGTTGCAAATTACGTTTTGGACTGACCTTCGAATTCCTTAATACTTATATTCGCATAACGAATATTTATCCTTGTGTAGTGGTTACTTTGTATTCTGCCAAGTTCCTGAATACTGTATAATTTCTGTAATATAGCCTGTTATCAAAGTTTAAATGAGATGCTTTAGTAAATATCTTTTAGATATGAAGTAGTGTAAAAGTTTTGTACAACTTCCAAGTCACGTGTTTTACTAACATCCCTGTGAATATTTTCTACAGTCGTTTGTTGCCTTTGATGTAGATCAACGTCATTTATACTGGAATACCGGGCAGTTGAGCATATTGAAAAGCTTCCTTATCAATGTTTCAATTTTGCGCCTACTTTACACTCAGTTTTTCGAACAGAAATAGTCTGAGACTATTCGTCATTCCATCTAATCTATTGTTTTCCTTTTTGGGTGAGTTGTAAAAGCTAATCGGAATTGAGCATTGTGATCGTCCTGCTAATTCATGTCTTTCGTATAAAACTATGGAAAGCGAATCTAGCACATAATCTCCTCTTGAGTCATACTTGATCACAGAAAAAGATAAGACGTGGTTGCAAAGAGGAAAGTTTTTCTTTCCGACGAAGTTATTTACTAAGCTGTACATTCGTGAATATATGTTACGGTGGGCAGAACGCTCAAGAATTATTTCTGATTAGGGGGGGAAATATATTGAATAAGTAAAGGAAGTTAAGTAATACACATTTGTGTTTAGAGTGGGGAAAACAGACAAGGGATTATGAAAATACATGTACATTTAACTAATGCAGGATGGATCGATGACAATCAAGACCTCATGATGGCCACGGCAAAGATAAAGGTTAGACGTATAATGCTGGTTTGAACTTCTGAATGGCTAGTGCTTCAGCTGTAGACAAATGCCTTGATCATCTTCTTATTCTCTTCAAGTTGTTTGATCGAACCCTGTAGAGAATTTTGAAAGAGTTCTCAAAAGGAGCTAAGTGGCCTGGGTTCAGAAGGTGTTCTATTATTGAACTGACAATACATTTCCATTCTCTCTTTGTCAGCCACGCTGGGCAGTGTTCGCGGGCACGTCTGCATGTGCGTATGCCAGTTTACTTGCTCTTGTGGAGCTTAGTACATCGGCCGTACCATGGGTATTACTTAACTTCCTTTACTTATTCAATATATTTCCCCCCTAGTCGGAAATAATTCTTGAGCGTTCTGCCCACCGTAACATATATTCACGAATGTACAGCTTAGTAAATAACTTCATCGAAAAGAAAAACTTTTCCTCTTTGCAACCACGTCTTATCTTTTTCTGTGGTCATACTTAATCACAATCATTCACTTTTCCCCAATTATGTACTAACAATTGAGTGACCAATCGTTTTAACTTTTCAACTTTTGGTCGAGTTTAAGCTTAAATATGCCTCACTATTTATTTTTGTATGTTGACTGTACTACTGGAGCTCCAGCTTTAAAGATTACTTTGATGAACTATGTGCACTAATACTTTCAGTACATTTTCTTGTTAGTACTTTTTTATTGATCACCTACTAATACACTTCAGTAGTGTGCTTCTTATCCTTTTATCTTTACGACCCTGAGTAGTGGTTCTCTTTTTTTTGGAGTATATGGTGTAATTGTCTTCATTGTCTTCAGTTTATTTTCAACGATTTGCCAAGTTAGAAAACATTATGTCGAAGAGCTCAGATATGCATTTATCTTGTCCAGTGTTTGATTGCTATTTTCTCACTTACACGATGAGATACTAAGAGTGGGATCTTTTTGAAGTGTAAAGTTTCTCCTTGGGAGATTAAAGGGTTTAGCTAAATATGCAATGATGACAGCATAAAAATAGGCAGCCATATAAACCTGTCATCCGGGGGTAGTTATAGGTGAAACTGTGGATCACGGGTTTGAACTCCGCTCCACTTACCGAGGTTTGGACAGATAGTGTCGCATACACAGTAGGTATAGGTGATTGCTTACTGCATGAACGTGCACAAGTTTGCTGAGTGAATTTCTACTTTTTTTTCTGGATTGTTATAGATGATTTATATACTGCCATAGTAGTTTTTATCAACTTGTTTCTCTTAGACACTCTAGATAGTATCATCTTGTGCAACTGTGACCTGCTAAATTAACTGTTTGATTTCCAGCGATTAAATCACGCTTTCGTAACCTGCTCCATTCATTGACGTTCTTCCAGTCAACTGATATGACAACCTTCACGTACAATAGGTGTGCTTCACATTTGTGTTTGTCGAGCTATTAGTTCGAGTCCTGTTTCGATGTGGATTTTCATTCTGTTCTAATCACCACTTGCATTATATTAGAACTAGCCTCTCATGATAAGGGCTATTTAATAGGTAAACATCGGCAACCTGGATGACAATCGGGCACATAGTGGAGCTGTGGCTCATTGGTTTAGAAAGATTACTTTCAACCAGTGGGTCATGGGTTTGAACCCCACCCCACCTACCACGTAGTATCATCATTAGCCCTCACAAAATAGGTGTGGCTCATTGTCTGCTGCACTGATTTGCACAAGGTGGCTGAGTGCATTCAACCTCCAGTTGGAAATAGGTTATTCAAAGGAACATATGTTGACAACTTTATTTTATAACTTACTTTCAACAATCCAGTCATGTAACCAAGCTGAATAGCATAACCTGTAAAAACAAATCGAATTGCACTCACTAAACTTGTACACATTTGTGCAGTAGGCGATGGCGCATACATTTTGTGAAGGCCAATAAAACTACCTGGCTGACCGCCCAAACTCGGGTAGGTGGAGGGGGGGTTGGAACCTATAACCCAGTCGTTTGACCCTAAAACAATGAGCCACAGCTCTACAATATAACCTGTAGAAAGTAGGAAATAACTAGTCTTTATCTTTGCTCGAACCAGCACCAAAACATCATTTGAGAACAACTACGCATACCAATCCTGCCTCAGTGATTGTCTAAATTCTATTGAACCATCTCTTTCATTAAGCAACTAATTCCACTATTGATAGATGTCTAGATTCAATCATCCGTTTGGAGTAACCTTTTCGGGAATTTATCATGCCAGTTTTAGCCTGTAAGATCAAATAATTATCCTATTGTGGTGTATTTTCCCTTCACTGCAATGTCACTGAAGTACAGTGCTGTCCGTTGTACTGCAGTGGAGAATCCTTTCCAGGATGGGGACTAACCTCTTGATAACTACTAATGCTTATAAAAGTACATGTGGAGTGGGTGAAAATGAATAAAATCTCGTGTAATCCTGTCATGTAGTCACAATAGTTTGGATGTTTACTAATTTTGTGTTGTTTGTGCGATATAAAGGTAATTCTTTGTCTCTGTTACCAATGTTATTATTGTTACTGTTCAGACAGTTAGGAAACACGTGATTATCATTAGGTAGAAAACCGATCAACAGGAGATTGTTTGTCTCTTTCTTTATGTTTAAGCAGACATTTTGATTCGTTGGTTTTTCATGCTTTGTTTCAGTTTGTTTTTACCACTTTACCATTATGTATCTAAGCTAGTGTCTGTCTCTGTGTTTGCGTGTTTGCATACCTGTAGTGCGTTGTGACCCTGTTTCTATTCCAACGTCCTTCACATCTGCACTACATTTGGTTTCGTCATGTGAATCATTGTACTAGCACATGACTGTTTAGTAAATTTGTATTCGATCATTACTTGGACTCATCCAAGCTTATGCATGTCATTACCACTACATTGGTTGGGTTGACATTTCTAATGAATTTAAAATCCATCCTAGCAGGTGGTGAAATGACCAATCAGGCTTTGGTATTTCGCCTGCGAAAGTACTTTTCCATAAAATAGAGGAATGTAATTGGCTATCACACTAGTTAGTAGGGTGGCGTTTAAAGTCACCCTTCATAACACTGGTTTAATAAGCTATGCGTAGTTTAATGTAGTTGATCCACTTCAGTGGGAAACTCTCCTTGACTAATTTTGATGGTATTTGTTATTAAGGCAGTCATAGTATTGTATTTATTGGGAGACGTAGGCTAAGTTAGGGGAAATTCAGTAGTATATATGCATATTAGCAGTATTGTCATTCCAACTGCTGATTGGTAATTCTGGTTGTTAGTGTGCTGAAAAAAGGCTGTACGGATTCAAAATTAGGATGTTCCCTTCATCTCATAATCAACTGATTTATACTCCTAACTAAATTATTACGTTTGTTGATAATCGAAGGGTTTCGACCAGTGAAATTATCGTTTAATATAATGCTTATCAATCAGGAAAGCTCTTAAATCACATCAAATTCCAGTTTTCCTGAATAAGTCACAATTAATAGGTCTTGTGTACTATTAGAAACATACAGGTGGTTGACATTTCCCAGCTCCCCATACCGTAGAAGGCTATTTCTTCTCTAGATACCTGGAAGAAAGATTTGTATGACCATAAGGCCATGGGACATCTGCCTGGGGCCTGTCACCCTTGGCCTTTTGGGAGATGTTTTTTTCAGATTTGATTGTTCTAACGCCAGATAGGAGGAACCCATATCGTCGGCAACGGAAAACCATGGAGCAGGGAGATGTCTGCTGTTTTTGGTGCCGATCTTTCCTAACATCCCATTCCCATTGAAAAGGCAGCATCAGCGTGACACTGTTGATCATCCGCGGGAAACACCTTACTGCTGTCATATTCCTGTTCAGCCAGCATTACGACTCTGCCCTCAGACTACCATCCCAGTGTAGCAATTTACACCAACGGTAACTGCTTGTCTGCCTAACACTATCCAACAGACGTTTCTGACATAATGATACTTCGAGGCAACAAGCGTTTTAACTAGTGTAACTCAGTGGGTCATTGTGCTATACAAGCCCGCCCACCAAGTCAAGGTAGCATCTATCGATTGGAGTAGTCATGGTTAACATCAGAATGTTTTGTTGCGCTGCAGATAAACGTTAGCTGTCATCACAAGTTGACTAGGCTTTTTTGAAGCATCGTGACAACATTATTTACGAATACTCTGGTGAAAATGTCTATTAACAGTTGACTTTTAAGCTCCATGTGCTTAATTCAAGCCCTACTCAATCTTCAACCCTGACAACCGACTAGTTTCACATTCTCCTATACGTTAAGTGCAATCCATAACTTGTCACTCAGGTTGCAATATCATTTTTAGTTGATTTTCAAACGTTTTTGGTGATTTGGTCCATATACACTTCTATCTATTTTACTGAATTGCATAACATTGGTCTGTTTTTGCTTAATTCTATCGAGTGGTTTTCATTATCTACTGTTTTTTCACCTTGCTAACCATCATTTGTTTGTTTTCATTTTAATTTTGTTTATTCTAATCTTTGATAGTTCTCGCCCATCCTTTGGCAACAACTACTTATGCACGAGATAAAGGCCGCCATCGAAGTGGTAGTTCTATGTCCTCTGAAATTGGTCAGTATTCTATGAATAGTGTTAGAGAATTAACTTCTCCTTCAGCTTATTTGGACTCAACATCAACTTATCCTGGTCGTTGTGGTTCCTATAGTGGTTGTGTGGGTAATTTGAATAGAACTGTTGCTTCATCTGCGGTTACAGGTGGTAGTTTTTCTGTATCCAATCAAAAACAAACTATGCACAGTGTTACTTCGAAACCTGTACTGTTAGGACAACTTTCTGGAATATATCAGAATGTGACATCTCTTAAACCCAGTAGGTATCAGTGTGTCTTTTGTCATATGTTCTTAATACTACTGTTTTTTCTCGCTCTGTCTTTGCCACTTTTTTTATTGTGTCTTAATCAGGTTAAATTCGCTAAATGGAAGTGTGAGTAGTGCTTGATTTCACAAAAAGATTTTTAAACATATGTGTCAATTATTGAATCATTGATAAAAAACAAGGCGGTCAACTTTAATCTACTCATAACTAGAGACTTAATAACTTCAAATATCGTATAATTGGCTGTATTAGAACACTCCATTGAATAAATATCGAAATTTTTCAACTAATTCTGTCGACTTTAAAAAATATCTATTTATTTCAGATTTACTATGGGACAATTTCGAATCTGAATCCAACAATGCCGAACAACACTTCTCATCCAATTGGCCATGGTCATCAGTGAACACAGGCGCTTGTACCAATATTAGTGGAGGAATCAGTGAGATGGAGAATGATTTCAATAGCTTTTTGGATAATTGTCAAATGCCTCTTGGTATTGCTAATTCCTCGTCTATTGGTATTTGTGATGATACTAGTCGTGATAGTGGTTTGGTCCTCGATATGACATTGCCTCCAACATCACCGCTTGAACAAAGTAAGAATCATATCTTTTCTATTTGTGGATAGCTGTGGTTTAGCGGACTGTCATCTATAATACGAGTTGTTGATGAGACCTAGGTCGTGACAGGATTTGAATTGCGAAACCCAGTTACCAAGGTCTTTATCTCTCTGTCATGCAAATGGGATGATACTTAACTATCCATACATCAAGATAGAACTAACTGAAGCTCAGCGTACTCGTCCTTTGGTAAATAGTCGGAAATCTCGCCAGTCGGCGTCAGAGATTACGCAAGTTGGCAAATGCTAAACAGGACTTGTGTATCCGAGCTGAGATTTCATCAGCAACTAGCCCGAATAGGCTGACTGGTATCACTTTTATTCTATCCACTTGTATTCTATTTACTACTGGGCAGTGTGGCAACTTGAATGGATTGACTTCTGTGCGAGGCTCTACGTTGATTTATCTGTCTGCCTATTCGTCGTCATCACGTCAGCTGTCCATCCACATCTTGTCCGTATTCAAATTGTTCTCGTTTCACCTTCAGCCATTGTACTCTGTATCATAAACCATTCTATAACTGAAAGAATATCTTAGTTTCGAGACTCGTCGCCATATATGATTTCCGCTTCTTGATGAGTTTTCCTTGGCAAATTGCCGATGATCTATCTTGTTAAAAATAATTAATTAGTAGTGTAGCTCTGACATACTTCTGTGTAAGCTCTAGGTTTCATGATCTCTACTGACGTCACGCAGCAAAGACAGCTTGACTTGCCTTTTGAGCGCGTCATTAATGAGGTGCTTTTATGATGAACTCAGGTTTTGCTTTTTGAAAACAATAATCATCTTATTCCAGACAGTAATTTTCAATACAGTATGGAATTCTCAGTGTAATATTTCAACAAATTTACTACTTGTACAGTATTTTCAGGTTAAGTGACCATCGCAGTTGAGTAATGTTTTTCATAACAGTATGATAAGCAATAATACACAACGACCTGTTGTCTTTAGGTTATCGTCTAGTTTGTGGGTACGTTATTGCATCGTGGCATGAATAAAAATTCAGCCGTCGGTTTGTTGGTTGGAGATCATTCAGCTAGTATAAAAATTGGCAATCACTGCTAACTATTCCTGTAATACTATTTATTAATATACCTGCAATTCTCCGTTGTTTTACTGGATCGAATTGTTCGACCTCTATTGACATATGGGCTCCTATGCGGTTGCCTCGATATTTCCTGAATATTAATTATGGTAATTTACTTAGTGGTGGCTAGCAGAGGAATCCTGAATGCGCGTTTCATCCAGTTCGGGACTCGTCAGCTGCACGTGTCTGCACCCCAATGAGTGATGTTCCCACTGGGACTCGAACCTCGTACCCATCGCTTCAAACGCCAAGGCGTTGTCCACTAGGCCACTGAGGCGTGGTAGTACGCGCGTTCTGGATTCCCCTGCCAGCCACAATCAAGTAAATTACCATATTCATGTAATAGTTATGTAATGAACTTCTGTGCGCTCAAGAGCCCATTCCTATCTACCTACCGTGATATTTTTGTTATTAAATTGTGTGGTGATAGATTGAGGACAATTTGAGAATGCGTGAGAGTACGTGTTACGATTTGTTGACATTTGAATAATTCAAAAAAGTACAAAAGGAGTAACTGGATGTAATACAGACGATGGAAACGTTTTTGGTAGCCCAAAAATTTAAGAAACCCGCTTGATCTGTTTGGACATGTATATAATCAAGTGAATATTACTGACCAGGAGTCTCATCTAGGGATGGGACGAATGGCTGGTTTATTCAAAGACTTTTCAATTTATAGCAAATTAAAGCACTAGAAAACATCAACTAAAATACTTTGATCTTAGTTTTCATAAAGTTTATAATAACATTTCGTATGCGTTTGTTTTTATGAACAACTTGGGCACGTGATAAGAAAATCTCTATTCTGTTATTGATTGGAATACTTATTTACATTTATGTATCAGAAAATTCAATGTGAAAGACTTATTTATTTATTGTTTTTGAGGTAGTATTCATCACGGACTGGCATCAGTTGAGGAACCATTGGAAACCTGGAAGTATTGGACAGCTGTCCCGTCCTAGTATGGGACTCCTCAGTAGTACCCATCCATGACCAGGCTACATGTCGAATTCAGGACCTTCAGGTTTTACAGCAAAAGCGTTAACCACTCAGCCACTGGATCGGAGTTCAGTAGCTCACAGTTTCCAACTTCTGTCAATTCACGATATAGAGCGACTATCACCCAAAGTCTTCAGTTGACATCCACTTCCCTTCCAACTGGTTGACCTTACAGGTCACAACTCATAAGAACTTCATGATATCCATCTGGAAGCCGGGTTCGTGGGTGCGTACTATTGTCGAGTCCCGTACTAGAATGAAACAGCTTTCCAGTGCTCCCGGGTTTTCAATGGTTCCCCAACTGATATCAGTCCGTAATGAATAATACCCGAAAAATTAAAATCCCCATTCATCTCAAAAATATATTTATTCATTGGTTATTAGTGATGTGGCTTCTGTGTTCGCCTGTGTGTAGTATGTGTGTATGTTGTTGGAGTCCTTCCTGCACTTTATTTTTAGACGTCTAACAAAGTAATTATTCTAATAATTTACTTGATTGTGTCTAGGAGAGGATCTAGAGCGCGCGTTTCGTCCTATTTGGGACTCGTCAGCTGGATGTTTCTTTTCCCTTGAATCCTCATCGGTTTCTCCCACTTCTACTTTTTTATCTTTATCAATCTATCTGTTCACCGATTCACACAGACACGCACTATCAATAGCTTCCTCTCGACCTGAGCGTCGCACCATAAGTGGAACTCAGCTTACTGCATAAGTAAATACCGGTTTGAGTTGGATTATGTATTTACTATACAGTGCCACATCTACAACTGTATTATTTGTGGACAAGCATGCATATTTCAGTTGATATTGCTCAAGAAACTTGTGTTTTTCTTACTAGTTATCAAATGATCTTGTGCGTTTCTTGAGTGGAGCTATGACTCATTGATTTAGGCAGTGAACTTCCGATCGACAGACCACAGGTCCGGAGCGAACTTCGTCTATCAAGGTCAAAGCAACCAGGTGGTATCATTCATTGGGATTAGCAAATTAGGTGTGACTCCTTATCTGCTGCATGCAATGTCCACAAGGTTGCTGAGTGTATTTTGATTCCGTTGATTCATTTCTTAGACTAATATCAAAGTCCTAATAATAGATTAACAGTGTACAACTAATGTGCTCGACTTTATATATATATATATATATATATATATATATATATATATATATGTTTGCCTTTCTAATTTGGGATTTATTATCAAACGCTTTCTTCTCAACCCTATTCCTCAATGAATACATCGCGTATCTACACATTTTAGTCTCACTAAATACTTGGTATATTTTCGTACTGTATAAAGTCTTTGTTACGATGCGGAGTTGTGAGAATAAACGATTATACCTAACGATTGATAGTCGAAGGTCGAGATGGTTCAGCCCGAGTGATTCGCAGAGAGAAATCAAGAGACCGGTAGTTAGCTGAGTTTATAGGATCGCGGACTAAATACGTATATAAGTGAAAACGCACCCTATTTAAAGAGTTTACAATAACTTTGAAAGACAAGGAATAATTAGTACCTTTAAACAAATAGGTGCTAATTAGAACGCTTGCGCGTTATATGAAATGTGATTCATGAGCGGGAAAAGCAGTGCGAAGGAAAACATTTCAAATATATACGAATTGTAAGTATGAAATATAAGGGATATATGCATCCCTAATAGTCCTCCGTCGCTTTTTTCTATTAAAGCGAATCTATATCAAATCTTGCGCAGCCTATACTGCGCATTTACTTTCTACGTCTAAGTAGACACACAGACAATAAAAATGGAGTCTAACTGGGCATTATTACAAGTTCCCACACTTCACATTAGTGCATTACTTTTAAATCAATCAGGTATATGACAGAACTGAAAATAATCATGCCATAAGTTTTAGGAAGCTAAACCTTTTAGTGAAACAAAGATATACTAAGAAATTGTAGGGGAAATTCAGCTTCAGTGTGTCTGTAGAAGACTTTGAACTGTATCGATAATCAGTTTCCATTGCCCCGTGATCAACACTGTTCCACACCAAAGTGGCTTCACTATGAAAGCAATTATAATCAGTGTTGTCACAAATAGTATCCCTCTTAAATGACCGCTTTTATAAACTTCAGGATCGAAATCTGATTTGATGGATTTGAATAAGTTCAGCATTGGATGATGAGGGAAATAAATTTGTAAAATCCCAGTGAGGCAGCGGAATGAATTTCTGATGTTTCGCGACCTCGTGGGAGCCGCATTTCCCGAGAATTAGACCTGTACAGGGTATGACATACTTAAACAGTAAGTGGAGACAAATCGGATCCCGTTGTTCATACATGATTATAATATGGGGGAATAGATATCATCGTTATCTGTCCATGAGTTCAAGGTAAAGATGTAGATTTGTGCACTGTGAAGGTACGGGAAAAACTTTATGGATGAGAAATTCTTTTACTATGATTAGTGTGTATGATGTGTTGTTTTGGATATACTGTCCAGGTTGGTTGAATAGTTAGGCCTTCCTTTCTGTTGAGTGCATTTGATTCAACGTAATATGATTCCTGAAATTCCAATGAGAAGTTGTGACCGGTGGGCCAACCAAGTGGAACATGAGGAGAGTTACTCAACGACGGCACTGGATGGAAGTCACGCTTTTTCGTGAACTGATAGAAGTAGGAGATATGGACCGTTGGTTTCCGACCCATTAGCTTAACGGTAATGTTCTGGCTGCGGAACCTGAAGGTCCTGGGTTCCGACCCCTGGCAGAATCATGGGTGCGCACTGCTGAGGGGTCCCGACTGGGACGAAACACCTGTCCAGTGCCCACACGTTTCTAGTGTTTCCCCAACTGATGTCAGTCTATGATGAATACCAACCTGAAGTCAATAAACGAATCCCCACAAACTTCAATATTGAATAATATGAAATGTCTCAGCTATCTGTTTTTCCTTGTAATTTGAAAAACCTTTAAGAATAATTGTAGTATTTTCAATATCAGTTTTGTGACTTTGATAAGTGGCATGATGAACAGCGATTACCGAGTGGGTTATAGCTCGGTCGTTTTGTGTAACTTGCGTGTTCTTTAACATGAGTGGGAATCTCGCAGAATTACTTTCCAATACAATTTACATCATATTCGACACAGCCTAATTTCTAGGCACAATTCTGTGTGGAAGTAAGAGAAATTTCATCTTCCAAATGGACTAAAGCATTTTTGAGAGTGCTGGATTTTTTTTGTAGGAGATGTTTTCTTAAAGTCCTTTGTAGCTATTAAGTTGAACCCTAGAGGAATGGAAGAACCACTGTACTAATCCAGAACTCTTCATTTGATTTTCCTGTTGGATTCGTATGCTCATAGTTTGTAATCTTCTCAGGGTAGCTATTAGAATGTAGCACATAACGTTTCTTACTTCTGTATGTCTGTCGTCTTCATTCATGGCTAGCTTTGTCACTTTCCTGAAAAAGTTCTGGGAGATATTTTTAAAATTACAAATGTATCATCTACATACCTAAGCCGAATACGTGGTTTGATGGCGTCAGCAAAGATCATGGATTCATTGAGACGTAAAGAGGTTTGCAACGATAGAGGAAACAGGAGAACCCATTGCTACTCCATTTGTTTGTCTATTTAATTTTCCTTTAAACGGGAAAAGTATCGAATCCAAACAAAACTTGAGTGCTTTCATGATGCGGTTGAGGCTCACGGTAAATCTGTCTGATAACGTGATCACTGTCTTACAATTCATATATGGAAGTCAGCATCTTTCAATGGGAATACTAGTATACACTGAAACAACATTATAACTTACCATTGTTTCTTTTTCTGTAATAGTTAGTTCTGATATTTTTGAGTTGAATCCAAAATATCTTTGATTGAGCTGTAATAGTAGAATATTGGAGAGAGGCTTTAGTAGGGATGTTGTGAGATATTTCAATGATCGTCTTCCTTATAAAATGATTTAAAGCCGTCTACTTAATATATTCCACTGTTGCCACAAATTATCACAAGATAGAAAGAAGCCATATCAATTTTTATCGATCCGTTTATCATCATGCAGCTGTTATCATGGTAAAAGATGTGGTTACCGCGTTCACTCACTTTACTCATTTAAGTATCAATACAGACTAGTCTGAAAGGATGATTAATTCGTTCTAATCTGTTGTACCCCTGTCAGACATGGCTATTAAAAGTCGAAGACATGAAACGGTTACAAGTTTTCAATCATTGGTACCTTCGTAGTATTGCTCACGTTTGATCAAATCAGCGTGTGAGCAATGTTGAGATCAGGCGAAGGGTACTAGACAAAAGAGACAAGACAGATAGAATCAACGTTGGAATCAGTTGTTGAGAACTCTTGGTGATATGTCTGGAAATTTGTCACAACAGCGCAGATGTATTCACTCTTTGACATATTCTAAAGCTTGAATATTTGCATTATTCGTTATCTACGGATTGCTTATTCTCTCACACAACTTTGTGCACTTTGATATCACTTTTTTTCTATCGACTTGTTCATTGTATACTGCTGTGAAGTGTGGGTACTTGAAAAGATGCATATATATATATATATATATATATATATATATATATATATATATATATATATATAGTTCGGCTAACAGTTTATGGAAATTGCCTTTCGTGAATTTGGAGAATAGCTCACCGATTTTGAGCTGTCAGGCACAAACCAATTTACATCGTTGCTTTATAAATTAAAAAAAACGCAAACAGTGTATGACACCCTTTCTTTATTGTCGTCTTCAGCCACGTAGTCCACGATTAACTGACGAACACTATCCTTAGGTAAGGATTCATTTAAAAATATACTGTTAGTAAAGATTAAACAGTAGCCATTTCTTGTGCAACGGGTATAGTTTATATTGTGTTGCTCGTGGCTTGATAGCCCAGTTAATAATGCTCAGGCGTTCGAAGCGCTCGTACCCGGGTTTGAGTCTTAGTAGGAACAATATCGCTCACTTGGGAACAGATACATGCAGGTGATGAGTCCGAAAAGGGATGAAATGCACGTGGAGCTGGACTCTACTACTAGCCACTACAGATCATTGATATCTAAATCCTTATTTTGCTTCACTTATTCCAAAATAGTAAAATTGTGATTTCTTTTAGTTAGAGAATTGGTAAATTATTTGACAATTGTTTTTTCTTGGCTTTGAGACACAGGCAGTGTGAACCCATGACCTATCCGTAAACATGAGGTGTTATGGTGAGGTTTTTTACTTCTCAGCTCCACGGATGGAACTCATGGACCCACGTTTCCCAATTTTTATCATTTTGTCTTATTGCTTAACCACTGTGCAAGGTTATCATCTTCGAGTATTTGTCATCTTACACACAGTGTAGCCGTAGTTCTCTGGTTTAAAGAGATGACTTTCAACCAAGTGGGTCATAGGTTTGAGCGCCACTCCACCTACCGAGTTTCGGGCAGCCAGTCATTAGCTCTCACACATTAGTTGTGGCTTATTGTGTACTGCACGAATGTGCACATGGTTGCTGAGTGTGTTCCCATTTAGGTTACACAGTGTATTCGATCTCAGAAGTCTTTGATTCTCATTAAAATTTGAACATTATTATTAGATTGGATAAATTTTTAAACAAATGTTTGATTTCATGGTGTTTATCATGAATGGAAATTAGATAGACAAAGAAAGAGAATGCCGGGGAAAGATTGCACAACTATTTCTCATCCCAGTTTTCCAGAGTCTGTCTTGAGTCGAGTCCGGGGTCCTACGGTCTTGCGGCAGGTGCATTGTGACTTTTGATGAACTTCACTCAAAGCATCATCTCTCACTGCATTTGAAGCATATATATATATATATATATATATATATATATATATATATGAGATGAATGGGGATTTTTAATTTGGAAGTTGGAAATTGTGGACCACTGGAAACCGACCCAGTGGCTGAATGGTTAACGCGTTCGCCGTGAAGCCTGAAGGTCCTGAGTCCGACCCCTAGCCGGTTCGTGGGTGCGTACTGCTGAGGAGTCCCATACTAGGACGAAACGGCTGTCGAATGCTCCCAGATTTTCAATGGTTTCCCAACTGATGTCAGTCCATGATGAATACTACTTATATATATATATATATATATATATATATATATGTTTATTTTTTTTCTTCTTTCTGAAGGTTCTAGTGGATTTCTAGGTAGCAATCTAGAGGCGGATTTATTATCTCAGCTTACACAGTCAGCATCACAACATCGTGTTTCAGCCTCTGGTCTTTTTGATGATATTCATTCAGCGTGTTCACGATTTTCTCAAGATGTTGTTTTTCATTCACCATCAGATGATGGCTTCCTTTCGACGCATTCTGCTTCAGAGGAACAAGATCCTAATCATGCATTACTAGTTACTGTCAATACTAGTATTGATTGTTCTTCATTGCCAAATTCTTATGGATCGAATCCAGTGAATATACCGGGTAAAGGCAATGCTAAAGATGTAAAGAGCATGCAAATGTATTCATTCTTAGATTCTATCACTTCACGATCAGGTATTTTGTCTAGGCATGATCCATTACAGCAGCCAATTGGTCATTTACACCAACCTGGTGGTATTATTCAATCTGGTCAGCTGACGAAATCTCAGTGTAATAAAGGTTGGCCTTCAAGTTTTGCTGATGAAATCGGCCATCGACACAGTTCACCTATGTCATCTCCAGTATCAATAAATAATGCCAATTCTAGTAGATATGCATCAATTGTTGGTGGTGCATCACTTGGACGTGTAAGTCAAGCAATAGGTGTAGATTTGAATACATCAGGGCTAGCAAGTAGTGCCAGTAGTGGTTCTACCGGTGCCGCTGTATTCGGTGCTATTGGTTCCCGTGTTCTTCATTCAATGGTTAGTTCTGTTGAATTTTTCTATGTTTATTTGATAATTTATATTACATTTTACATAAGATTATGACTCCATAGATAATTTTAACAATAAGTGGTTCATTTTGGAGGTTTGTAAAGGACTTATGTACTGATTTGGGGTTGATATTTATCATAGACTTACATTAGTCTGAGAACCATTTGGAAATCTTGGAGATGATATTGCCTAAGAAGACAATGGAAGCTTCACGAATAAACCGTCCAGCTCAGAGAACAGAACACAATCAAGATCATCCACTTGAGCTACAAGTATTCTCCACCATTTCGAAATCATACAAGCGTAACATACTTCGCGTTGTTCGAAGATGGGAGGACTTCTCCAAGAGAACAACTAGAATTTCTCTATGTGTGCCTACGTCAGCATATTCTGTCAAACAGTATCAGTTATGGACCATCAATTGACTGTCGAATGGAATGGAAAATAGGTGGACAAACTGGAAGACAAATGGTACAATTGATGGTTCAAAAATACCAACTTATGATTGACGATTATAAAAGAAAACTAGAAAGCTTACTTACAACAGAACACATGACAACGTCAACAGCACTTGAAAAATCGAGCAAGCGATAGGACGAACAACGATAAAGAATCCTCAGGAAAAAGCTGATCAAAGTTTCTGAATCATGTACATCGGAGGAAACAAATGACTGTTGCTAACTTACCAAAATGGAATGTGTATGATGGATTTTTGTCTTGAAATATTATCCTTCTCTCAGTCTTACCTGCGTCCTCTAGTGCTGTCACAACTGAGTGAAGCTTGGAGGGGGAGGGACAGTTGTTGCGTGTTTACAGTCCCAGTATTCCCATTATGTTCATTGCAATCAACTCGGTCACTACACATTGTATCAAGAGTATATTTGTTGTATGTTTTTTTTGACATCCTGTGTGTCTTTGCGAGTAGATCCTTATTTTTAAAAGTCTACAGAATAACAAGTCCGAGGTTCGATTGGCAATAGAAGAGACGAAAAAAGCAATTGGGAAAAAATATATTCATCATCTGTTTTATAGGACCAAGTCTCACTTTGAAAATCAATTCCTGTGAATTCTCAGTGGCAAAGTGACGAAGTATTTCTATTACTCTGATCTTCGATTTGATCAAATATTTCTTATCTCATTTACTTGGTTGTGGCTAGCAGAAGAATCCAGGACGTGCCTTCCGTCCTATTTGGAACTCGTCAGCTGGATATACCTGCACTCCAGTGAGTGATATTGTTCCCACTGAGACTCGAACGTCGTACCCATCGCTTCAAACCCCAAGGTGTTATCCATTAGGCCAGTGAGGCACAATAGACACCTTGTACAACGAGTATTAATTACTATTTATTGATATGCTTGTAATTCTCGGTTGTTTTACTGGATTGAATTGTTTGACTTGTGTTGGCATATGGGCTCCAATGCGGGGAAGCCTAGATATTGCCTGAGTGTATACTATGCTAATTTGCTTGATCGAACATACATATGTAAACGTGGGTATACCCTCCGATCTTCTCACATCTCACAAGAGAATATCCACCACACTTCTGCATCACTTCACCTAAACGACTCTGCATGCCCATCGCCACTAGACCATTCGCCCCAACTTGTGTCTGTATGCTAACACATATTCACATCCTCCCTCCGACAGCTTCACAGCAGACAACCAATTCTTACTGTCATTGCTCCTATGTCGCCCTGTGCAAATGACAAAGACATATGCCCATTGACGTATTTCACACTCTTACTTTAAAAATAAATTTCTGGATGCCTCGAATTCCGCTTAGTAATCACAGTATTTTCTATAGTAATGATGGGTATTGGCTAGCAGTGGAATCCAGGATGCGCATTTCGTCCTATTTGGGACTCAGCTGGATGTACGTGCCTCCCAGTAAGTGATGTTGTTCCCACTGTGATTCGGACTCGGGAGCAGTCTCCTCAAACGCGAAAGCGTTATCCATTACACCACCGAGCCACGACAGACACTTCTTGTGCGACGGGTATAGTTTTAGTGTTATTGTTTGTATTACACTCGTTGATTGGACCGAATTGATCAGTCTCTGTTGGCATATGGGCTCCTGTGCGGATGCCTCGATATTGCCTGTCTTAATTATGTGTAGTAATGATGGGTAGCAGTAAAATCCAGGATGCACATTTCGTCCTATTTGGGACTCGTCAGCTGGATGTGCCTGCCTCCTAGTGAGCGTTGTTGTTCTCACTGGGATTCGGACTCGGGAGCGACCGCTTCAAACGCGAGAGTGTTATCCATTAGTGTAATACGATAAATAACACTAAAATAGCATTTTCTGTTGTGTTTTTGTTCGCTGAACTCAAATTGTACACTGAAGTTGATCACAATACTACTACTAATGACATAGCTAGCGATTTGTTTGCACGAAATTCTTGTTCCTTAGTATGCGTTAGGACGTTTTGAATTGCTGCTGTTTCTAACTTCTATTTTTGTTATTGTTTTCCGGATGAAATCGTTTTTATTCTTGAACAACTTATCATCCTCTTGATAATAAAAAAAGCTATAGATCGATCGATCATGTGATCATTCACTTGAAGGTCATTTTGATTTCTATGTTCTTGTGCATAAATGCTAGTTGTTGTTATCGTCGTTGTTTATTCTGTCCATGTGATATGAAAATACATTAATCTTATTGGCCTGTTTAATGCTATATGTGTGTTCAGAAAGAGACAGAGGGAGACAGAGAGAGAGACGCAATGCACGTTATCTTGATCAATCGATTTATTTATATTGACTTTACTTTTCGGTATTTAGCTATGATATTGATTTCAGTCTCTCTGTAATGAAGAATCAAATTAAAGGTTGTTATCGTCGCTGCAAAAACATAACAAGCGAATAAACCTTGAATTAGCCATCTATGTATCTATAAAGACTACTGTGTAACTGTTACTATCATTATTATTTTCTCTCAGGTTCCTAGTGGAGCATAGGGCTTCAGTAGCACGCCTCCATTCCACTCTGTTTTCTGCTGTCTTTTGAATCTGGCTCCACGACTTCCCACAGGCTTTCATCTCCTCCTCACATGATCTCCTCCATGTCACCCTCACCTGGAACGCCCAACTCGTCCCTCCCCATTTGGATTCCACTCGAGGCCTGGCGCCTGGCGCGTGATGTCCCCGAATGGTCTTTCCCAGTGCATGCCGAGTCCATCTCCACTTCCTTCTGCATATTTGTTCAGCGATAGGTTCTTGGTTGTTTCGTTGCAGGCCAGAGTTCCTTGTTGCTGATTGTTTCTGGTCATCTGATCTTCAGGAACGAGTGAACGTAGGCGGTTGTTGACGAATGACTGTAGTTTGTTGGAAATGCCTTTCATAACGCGCCAAGTCTCTGAGCCATACAGAAGCACTGATTTGACGTTGGTATTGAATATCCGGATCTTGTTCTTTGTGCTGAGTGCAGTAGATCGCCACACTGGTTTCGGGTTAATGAACGCCTGTGTTGCTTTTTCGATCCTGGCTTTGACGTCCTCGTCTGTGCCACCTGTAGTTGAAACGGTGCTGCCTAGGTAGATTAAAGAGGCTACTTGCTTTAAGTTTCTCCCGTTGATGGTGATTGGAGTTTGTTGTTGTTGGTGGTGGCGTTGGTTGGGTATCATCATCACCTCTGTCTTCTCTACATTCACTTGAAGTGCCGTCTTCGCTGCCCTGCCTCGCCTCTTCTGTCAACTTGTTAGTTTTTGCCTGTAGATCTTCGAGTTTGTGTGACATTAAACATAAGTCATATCGACGGAATCCAAATCTTCCACTGGTGTCTTTTCATCGGTCAAACAGCATATCCCCCTCCTCTCTCTCCTCACTGTTTGCTGCATGATCCAGTCGACCACAATCGGGAAGATCATGGGTGATAGTAGGCAGCCTTGTTTCAATCCTGTCTTCACTTCAAAAGCATCACTGAGCTTTCTATTGTGAATTACTTGGCATGAGGCGTCTACATATAGTTGTTGAATGAGGTTGATAAATATTTGTGGCACTCCATAGTGTTGAAGCAAGTGCCTGTCAAATTACTTCTCGGTCGACGCTGTCGAAGGCCTTTTCGGAGTTGATGAAGTTGAGGTAGAGAGTTGACTGGCATTCTACACTCTGTTCTGTGACGACGTGTAGCGTAGCGCTGCAATTTGACCCGCACATGATTTGTACTTCCTGAATCCAGCCAGCCTGTTCCGGTCGTAATTTTGAATCCAGCGCATCCTTTAGTCTCCTCAGGATGATTTGGCTCAGTATTTTGCTTGCTTTGTGTGGACGGGAGAGTGATTCCGCGCCCGTTCTTGCAAACACTTAGGTCGCCCTTCTTCGGGAGTTTGAAGAGGTAGCCCTTCTTCCAATCTGCAGGTACCTTCCCTTCCTTCCAGACCTTCTGCAATAGTGGTGTGAGCGTGTCTGCTGTTGTCTCTGCGTTTGTTCTCAGTGCTTCTGGTGGGATTCCGTCTGGTCCTGCTACTTCCCCGTATTTCAGCAGCTTTATGGCGCTCAGGACTTGTGCTTTTGTTGGAGACCCTGTGTTCACTTGTAGTTCTGTGTCTGCAGGTGGTGGTGGTGGTCGATTCAAGAACTTTTTGAAGTGGTTAGCCCATTGCTTTTTTCCTTTGTTTCTCCCATTTGGTGCTAACTAAGTTCCCTTCACTATCTTTCATTGGTTTTGTCTGTGCTGATTTCTTCCCGGATAGTAACCGGATTATTTGATACCATGTTGTCAGGTCTCTATCTCTCCTACCTGCAGCAGCCTGTTCTGCTTCACTTGCAAGTGTGTCGTGGAAGTGTCCTTTGTCTTACCACGCACTCTTCTTCACTTCTTTATCCAGTGTTTTGTACGTTGTACTAAGTTCTTCTTTTCGTCGTTCATCCTTGCACTGCATTGGCTTATCTTCTGCTTCACCATCCTCCTCTCCCTGCTCTATCAGCTTCCATGTGTCCGTCGAGATCCATTCCTTATCTTCTTTCTTCTTCCTTCCTAATAGGGTTATGCAGGTTTCTTTCCACATCTCTTTCAAAGAGTTCCAGTGTTCATACACACAGTTTCTTCAGGGATGTTGCTCGATATCTCCCATTTTTTCCTGATGACTGACTGACGTGAAGATTTCCTTTGTGGTTTCGTCCTTCAGTTCAGCTTCTGTTCTGGGTGTTGAACTTCAACTGTGGTCTATCACCAACTTCCTTGAAGGCTTTCAACTTGATTTTGAGGATTCCTCGCACTAGATAGTGTGTGGTCTCAACCACCTACATCTGCTCCCCTTCTTGATCTTGTGTCAAGTAGACTGTGTCTCCACTTCTCGAGATTGAGATGAAGTCGATCTGATTTTCAGTGTAGTGTGTCCATCTGGTGAAGTCGAATCCATGTCGCTTTGTGAATATCCTTGTGTTTATACACACTACCTCCAATCACCAAATCGTTGAATGCTCAGAAGTCTGCAAACAGTTCTCCATTCTCGTTCATCCTTTCGGCGAATGATTCTCAACCCATGATGAGTTCTTTTTCTGTGTTGTCCGCCCCGAGTTTGGCATTGATGTCGCCAACTGGAGTCTTGTTTAGTTCTTTTAGTAGTATGTAATGAGATTTTTGTTTTTTGGTTATTTCAGACGTCAAAGATATTGTGGAATCTTGGTGGTAACCCAGCTACATTATGATAACGATAATAATAATAATAATGACATGACCAATATTGTTTAAATAGGCAGGAAATAGTAATGATGGTTAGCTGCTCGCAGTGGAATCTAAGAACCGCGTTTCATCGTATTTGGGACTCGTTAATCAGATGTACCTGCCTCCGAATAAGGGATGTTTTCTTCCCTAATTATCAAACCTGGACTGATGGCTCCAAATTCTAGAGTGTTCTCAACAAGGTCAATGAGTCGCGGTGGCCATTTCTTGTGCAACGAGTATAGCTTTTGTCCTATTGCTTGGACCGAAGTGATCGGCCTCTTTTAGCTAATTAAGCTGGGTTTTGCTGCTAGCCACTATCCGTCCCCATCCAACCCTTTTGCTTTTTGATTTATCTTCATGTTAGAAAAGTCGAAGTGGGGGTAGCCCTCGAATAACAAGCAGATATATTAATCGGAATCGGATAAGCAGAGTTGAGAATTATAAAGACTTAATATATGAAACTTACTGCTGTCGTCAGTAATGATTGATACTTATTGTTCACTATAGAACGATTGAGTTGTTGTGAGATTAGTTTAGTTAACCAAGTGAAACAACCAATTTCTATTTATTTGTAATGTGATCGGATTATGTTAATTGGTCCAACTTGTAGACACCTGTTGTTAGGATGTTTAAGGCAGTTAGCTACTTCAATCCAGGTGCTCACCAACGTTCATACTATTGGTATTATACTCATAACTCTAAGTACATGACCCTGCCGATAGCTGCTACCTTGACATGGTGGTCCGGTTTTGATATCACAGTGACCCAACGAGTTATGCTAGTGCAACGCTTGTCCTCTCGATGTCCTATCATTCCAGAAAAGTCTATTAGATAGTGGTAAGACTAAAAACAGTTACCGTTGTAGTTCAAATTACTTCACTGTGATGGAGGTCTGAGGGTGGAGTCGTAATGCTGTCTGGACGGGGGTGTGACGGCGTCGAGTTGTTTCTCTTGGAAGGCTAGGAGCGTCACTCCGATGCTGCCTTCAGTGTAAGAAGGGGGTTTAGAAAAGGTTGGCCTTAAAAAAAGAACACTTCCATCCCCCATGACATACCGATGCCTGCGACAGGGATTCACAATCAGATTCCAAAGTAAAAAACCAAAATCTCAGATTTGCTGAATCGTGTGTTACCAACCTTAAGCAGATGTCCCAATGGCTCTGTGGTCACACAGTGTCCTCCCTTTTTAGGGCACCTCAAGAAAAACTAGCCTTCCATGGTGTGGGAAACCAAGATGTGTCAACCACCCACACAAGATCCCAAACATAAACTTGTACAAGGTTATTATGATTGATGGAAATATAGTATTTTGGTGTGGACTGACCTCTTGCTTACTTTAGTCTAAACAGTCGACTAGTCTCCTCATTCTTCATATTTGTCTTTGGTCATATTGTATCTAGCCCACGAACTGACATTTGATTACTACATTCTATGAAATGTGTAGTCTTTTATCATAATCTTCATATACCGAAAATCAATCAATCAATACACGTAATTGTTTTCTTGCGATGTCCTCATTTATCTTATCTACAGACAACCGAAACTGCAGGTCCATCTGACAGCAGTCAACCAGTTAGGCCACAAGAATGCTCAGAATGCTTGACTCAAATTAGTGCTGATACTATGTCGTCAACTTCATCTCCTATTCAACTAGACTCTGGTACAGCTGGAACAAGCTCTAGGATTTTCTCTTCTCATTCAAGAAATGAGAATTTTTCAAATTTACCACAGTCACCTATTCTCCTTTCGTCACCATTTAGTAATCCAGGTTGTGATCTGGAGCGTTTAACATTACGCCGTGAATTAGATGAAATTCGACAACGTTTGGATTCTGTAAGTCAACTTCTGTCTTTTTTTTACATTCCAGTTATCTTCTCTTGTGGTTTTTATATTTTCAAACCTCGACCACGTTGTTCGCTCTCTGACAGGTTCTAGAACATAGGTATGCTTACTGGCAAACGACCGACACTTATTGCATTTCCTTACCAGAAGATGGCACTCAACTCTGTCGACCGGGAGGTGTTGTTGGAGTGTCTCACTGTGAAAGGAGTACCAAGCAAGTGTATAGCGGAAATCAAACATCTCTACTCGATCTCACGTAACTGTCTAAGGGCTTGTGGAGAGTTGTCATGTGACTTGACAGGGATGCCTATCGTCACCGTTCCTGTTCAAATTCCTTGTAGATGTACTAATGGATGTAATCTGATTGATCTACTCCTCAGAGGGTACCTATGCAACTTGGACTACGCAGACGATATTCTCCTATTAGGCTAGGTGAGGACGTTAAAAAAATGCAGGGTGTTTTGAACGCTTTGGGCAGAAATCTGAGTATGTTTGGCATGCTTTACATACCTGTCAGCACTGGTCTGCAAATACTCCCAGTTCAAGGATAGAGAACGAAGTGGCGGATTGTGTCGACCACCTCACTTACCTAGAGAGTTGCATGAGCTCTAACGGGCGGTTACTGAAGAAATCTCAGCCCGGATAGAGAAGATTCGTTTGACATTTGCCAACTTACATCATCTGTGGAGCCGACTGATGAGATATTCGACTATCTCTTAGAGAATGAGAATGCTGTGCTGCAGTTCTTTCTTTCCTGCTATACGACTAAAACGTGGTCCTTAAAAGTGGAAGAGATATAAAGGTTGTAGGTTTTCAAACGCAAGTGTTTAGGGTAATTTGGTCGACGAGGTGATGATATTTCAGCGACTGAGGTGGGTAGGACATGTGTTGCTCTTACCGAACCGCTGCCTAACTCAACATGTTATGCTAGAAGAAGTTGGATAAGGTTGAAAGAAGCCTTAGGGTGGTTGTTGCAAGACATAGGACTATTGCATGAAGTGTCTTCCTGTTGGTTTGAGCCGTGTGGAGACTTCTAGGCTATCTGGTTGGGTTCCTGAGTTGATAGGAATCAGTGGTTGAGGAATCTTGGTGAAATGCTTGAAAGCCGATGTATTCTTACTCCTTGACGTCTTCCAAAGGGTGCATATTTGAAATAGCCTCAATTTTTAACCTGCTCTCCTCCCATAACTTCTCATCTCCTTTGCAATCTGAGCAGCCTTGGTAGGTTCAAACATTGTGTGGACATTCCATGTCCACACGTTTACTTTCGCTTTCATTGTGAGAAGAGAAGGCGCATCGGCAAATTGGCTTCCCGAATGCTTTCACCAACCGGCATCATTTCGCCTCTTCGATTCCGGCGAGGAATAATATTGTTTTTATTTTTTATAATTTGCTTGTGCTTTGAAGTTTCTTTAGCATAGCACTACTCTGAAGTGTTGCAACTTGAACGGATCCACTTGTATATGACGTTTCACTTTGGTTTTACCTGCCTGTCTGTCAGATAATTTGTCGGTATCATCAGAATCTATACTCATCCGTAGTGTATTTGATTAGGTCATGAAATTCGTCCCTTATTCTATTCCTATACGATGAATTAACTTACTTCAACACTTTGATATTTTATAGTCATTTGACATGAGCATACTAAAGTTTATTAACATTGACAAAAATGATCCAATTCATCATTTTCAGCTAGGAATGGTCTTAAGTCTTCTTGGTATTGAATAGCTTTTTGTTACTCGTTAATGTTTTCTTCTCTACCACTATAATTCTATTGGGATTGGCTTCCGAATTCTCTGAAGCGTGCAGAACTAATTATGCCCTTTTGGTGCTGTGATTTATGCACCTACTAATAAGTATTTAGCATAAGGTTTATCCACCGATATGTCTTACCCCTTTGGATCATCAAATCCAAGCCATATCTCGATCCATTTCTGAGAAGACCTACTTCTATTCACTACTGATTAGTACTCATCATAACTTTAAAAGAAAAATTGCTCTCAGTATCAATATGTGTATCCATGTCTTACTATTAGCCTATATTGCATCGGCGGCCGATGAGTTTGGTGTGAGCCAATCAGGAAGCTTAAAGTTATCCGTGGCTTAATAGCCCAATCGATAACACTGGACTTCGATGCAGTAGGTGCAGTGCTGTGTCTCGGTTTTTGTTGACAAAAACTAACATCGAGAAGCAGGTCATTTAATTACCTTTTTTCAACCAGCATATGCAATGTGAGTGTTGGATTCCACCCGATAGTTATCATTTGTCTTGATTTTTCTACTTTTAGCTTATCAGTATGGTATACACATGCATACTTGATAATTCAGGAATTAAAGTTGCCATCGTCAGCTGCTTGTTTACATTAGTCACTACCTATATATCTAATAAAAGAGAAAATATGTTCTGTTTATCATCGGCAGCTTACAGCAACATACAAAGCTTTATGTGTTTTCATTCAACCTGTTAGTTTTATGGAGGTGATCGACAGGAAGAGCCCTGGTTGGTCTTGCCTAGGTCTCATGCTTTTTGGTACTTGTCAGTAAGGCGTATCTACAACCTCGATGGGACTGATGTCCCACGTAGGATTCGAACCCGTGTTACCCAGTGTTACAGTCAGAGGCGTTACCACTAAGCTATTCGGGTTGTGATTGACCTCCAGTAGGGGGCTTTGTTAGGTGCATTGACTGGTTGCTCAAAGGTAACTAACTTCATGTAGAGTAGTCCTAGGTGCTGGTCGAATTCTATCGGCCATTTTGCAATGTAACCACCAGACTGGTTGACTCAACATCACTATGCACTGAGGTGGATTTTAGTTTGATAGAGGCAATCGGCAAGAACCCCTGGTTGATCTAGGTTTCATGCTCTTTGGTGCTTGTAAGCAGGACGTATCTGCAACTCCGATGGAACTCATGTTCCTCCTGAGATTTGAACCTGTGTTACCCAGTGCTGCAGTCTGAGATATGTTCGCTTTTATCATTTCGGTATTGTTCTCTAGGACAACTCACTAATTCTGTGAATAATTTAAATTTTGCGTGTTTTTCCTATTCCATCATTCATTTAACAACTTACAGAAGGAAGGTGAAGTAGAAGTTTTAAAAAAGCAAAGAGATTTTGTTACAGAGCATTTACGTGATTCGCTTGGTGTTATTCGTCAACTGTTTCATTCATTAAATATGTCATCTACTGCTTCTACTGACTTGTTCAAACCATTATTTGTCGATACTGAGACTAATTTGAGCAGTGATCAAAGCACTGGTTGTTATGCTCAAAGTTTATCATCAGAATCGAATCCATGCGATATATTTAAAACATGTATGCAAGCCTCGCCTGCAACAAATCTTAGTCCAACTGGTCCAGTTGATTCACTCGGCCGAAATCAACTGCAACAACAGCAACAAGAAGCTTTGGCAGCGTTGTTTGCTAATCCGCTTGTATCCGCACTTTTAACTACACAAACTGATGTCAGTGCAACAGACAATTCAAAAATGAAGTCCGATATGCAGGTTTGTTGTTTATTTCATCACATTTGAGTATCCTTTGAGTTCTGTTTATGATTTTCTTTACTGTTTATTATCAGTTTGACTGTTTGGGATAGCCGTGCTTTGGCAGACTTGTTATTTATAATGGGTGATGAGTGAAGGTGGAATAAAAATCTGGACTCAACAACCATTGGTTGTCCGGCCCAGTACTCCACTAGCTGAGCAACAAGACCCGGCTGTCGACTAAGTTTATATTTCACTTCATTTATTAAGGGTTTTGCCTGGCTGCCATATGAATTCGCAATGCGTTACTGTCACTTGGTCATATTCACACTGTCTGTTCAGTGAGGATTTCTCATACCAATACAAATCTACTTGAATTAAAGAGAGGGAGCCTGTCTGAGATACGTGTCGTTTGACAGACTTGTAATATTGATACTAGGTGATGATTGAAGATGAAGTGAAAATCTTGGCCACGGCAGGATTCGAACAAGGAACCGACTTGGAACTCTATCAACTACTATTCTTATTATTATCATATTTGAAAGCTTTTCCAATAGAAAACAACATAGTTTGTATTCCTATTGTTTAACTTCGTGTCTTTCCTCATTTGATGTTCAATATCCCTCTGTAGACGTGATTTCTTGAGGATTTTTGTCCATAGATCACAGAACTCTTATTCTTCCCGTACTGACAACACAATTAGCCCATTTTGTTTATCAGATGTGTAGTTTCCATATGAATTATTATGATTTATCATTTGTCCCTTCGGTTTCTACTGCACCATAGGGCTTCAGTAGCACGCCTCCATTCCACTCTGTTTTCTGCTGTCTTTTGAATCTGGCTCCACGACTTCCCACAGGCTTTCATCTCCTCCTCACATGATCTCTATGTCACCCTCACCTGGAACGCCCAACTCGTCCCTCCCCATTTGGATTCCACTCGAGGGCCTGGTACGTGATTGGAATATTGTGTGTTAACCGGTCATTAGCTGTTTCGTCAGCGAAAGACACATTTTGATTAAGGGATAAGTGAATGCCTTTTATAATGCAGTTCTAATATTTCATCTCTGATATCTTCATTCCACCGTTCCCTATACTTCGTGAAGATACCTGACAAATGTTGCTGAAACTAACTGCAAAGTATTAGGACGGCTAGTATGTTGTCAGTTTGTGTTTATTGTTGGTCAAAATAGAATGAAGTGGTCAGCCTGTAGATACATACTCTGTCAACTACACACATCAAAATATTTTAATTCGTGTTCAGGTTGGATTGGTTGGTTTTATTTTCGTTCTCGGTGAAGTCCGACAGATAGGTCAATGTAGAACTTTGTGTATAAGTGGATCGATACAAGTTGCCACACTTCTCATCTGGCATGAAGGAACAAGTGGGCACAGAAAGAGTGATGACAAAGTAAGCAAAGGTGTATGTGAGCAGAGAGAAACTGATAATGTTCAGGCGTTGTGATCAGTTTTCAGCTATATCACTGAGGTTCTCCAATCGTTCACTTCTATCTTTTCCAGGACCCCAACCAGACAGTCTACACCCCTCTACATGGTTCAGCACAGCAGTCACAAACTTCGTTCAATGATCCCCATGTCTTGCTCTGACCATCCTAAGCCTTCTTCCAACTTCTCCTAGCATTACAGATCGAGGTAGGCAATGATTTGGCATGGGCAAAAAATGTCGAAGGCATCTGAGTCGACGAAAGTTCACGACTTCACCGACCAAACTGTCTGTTTTGCGTTGTACCCTTCACCCTGACCCTGCCAGTGTTCATATAGCGAGCATAGCTGCGTGGACACCTACGTTCGAAAACCGGAGGCCACTTCATATTCTCAGCTTTCAATATCCATGCTTCACAGCCGTACAACCTACAAAGTGGTTCATAGAAAAACTTTGTAAGCTAAAAGATTCAGTAGAGCCAGTTAGGCAAACTAATCTAATCTATCAAATACCATTTAATTATTGTGAGATCAAGTGTATAGATCAGAGCACAAACATTTGGTGAAACGCGAAATAGTAGACCCTAGTAAGATAGGAAATTTAGAGAAAAGCTCAGCTATCACTCTGGATGCGCAGACTCAAAATCACACCATACGGTGGGTGGGATAGGGTGACAATCTTCTAAAATTCAATATAGCCGGCTAGGTGAAGGGAAAGATTGACTACAGAATCTTTGTTCATTGAATCAACTAGCACGTAAAAAATGCAACAGGAATGATTCAGCATATATCACAAATATCTGGAAAATTTATGCTACCATTAAAATAAACGAATGAAAAATTTTCGAACTAAAGTTAAGGTGAAGTTTGGAAGTTGTATGATTACTTTGAGTTATGAATATGATCTATGAGTTCTGTTGGAAACGTCATCCTGAAAAAAAAAATAATATATCACTGTGTGCTATATCAAATAAACAATGTCATATGGAGTTATGCTCTTACTATTAGCCGGTTCACTTTCAGGCTGCTTTCGCTCCTCATCATATTTGAGACCAGTCGGAATTAATCTTGTAGCCTTGATTTGATCATTGTAATCATGTTAACAGCTGACATTTGTGTGTTTCTAACCATATTTCCAATTCTTTCTTAAGTGAACTGAATATAGCAGAAAACTTCGTGAGGATTAAAATCTCGATGAACTTGAGACAAATGTCTAGTTTACTCCTTCCTAAATATTAGATTTAATGTTGTCATTTTTAAGTCCGGCATATAAAAACTTCCTGCTTTCATGTATCCTGTGACCATTTAAGCACAAATACACGCATTGTCGAATGGTTGTTTAGTAAAGTTCAACCAGGCACTCCAGAATCAGCCTCTGTAATACCACTGTTGTTTGTAGCAGTATCGTCTGTGTTCATCGTTAGATTGATGTTAGTTAGGAGGTGCCAGGTGAAACAATCTGTCCTCGTAATATATGAATTTGGTGCTAATCAAGAACAGAAAATTGTTAGAATACTTCTCAGTTCTTCGGTATTGTTAAGATACTTTTTTGTTTGAAAATGTAATTTACCTGTTAGTCCAACTATATAAAAACTTATATCTTTGTCAGCGAAATCGACAACCTTCATGTGGACTCATCCTTTACATCTTCCGAACTACAGTTAATGGATTCTGTAGACAGAGACCACAAGTAGAAGCCGATATTTATCATATTCCTGTTAAAAGATTTCTAATCTCTTCAGTTTAGCAACTTGCAGGCATTTCTAACTGGTTTCCTACTGACCACAGTGTTTTTTCTGCTGCTAAACATAGCACTGACTCTATACCTGCAAGCTATTGGGAATTAGCCAAAGAATTCTTTGACACTTATAGGTTCACCAGACGAAGGCAAGTGAATATTCACACTTACATATTTTATGCACATCTGGGAAATAACATCCATCCTTAATACGTGATATTGGAGTGTTGGTTTTAGACTCTAGATGGTGAAATCTCTGACTTGGAGTCGATCGAATAGTTGAGGAAGCTAGAAATGGGAGAGAGATGGTTTAGAATTGATGCTATCTTACATATCTGAATCACATACGGTTTTATAGAACCTTACCATAGATAGGTGAAAGCCACATGGATGGGCGGAATTCAGAAGGCATGAATTCTGTTATGCCAGCAAAACATCTGCACCTTCTGACCTCTATCAAAGTATGAATAATGCACATTGCGACTGTAGTAGCTATAGTCAGTAGTTTCACTATCCAGTAGGCTTTATTCATATGGTAGAATCTCAAGCTTAAGTTTTGTAGCAGTATCTACTTCAGACATTGAGAGCAATATGAAACTAGGTATTGCTGTTCCGTAGTCCAAATCGCCAAAGTTGGTATCAGCATATTAAGGTACATGTTTACAGGAGGAGAGATAATCAAAGGCATTAGTGAATTTTCATCAGTGTAGTAGATTCCGGCTCAATCACCCAGTGGCTTCGGTTGTCTCGCTGAATCTGCCTGCTCCTCTTCCTCATCATCATCACACACTTGCGGTGTTATTGAAACAACATTGGCAGAGAAAATACCCTAAGCCTTCTTAAAAAATCCTCCACTTCTAGAGTGACTGTTTCACCAGTTGAGACAAACTATACTTCACTCAGGACAGATGTAAATCATTTTCTTAACCAATAATAATTTACATTTAATATGTTAGAATCTTAACATTATTATTATTATTTATCCCTTGGGTTCCTAGTGGACCATAGGGCTTCAGTAGCACGCCTCCATTCCACTCTGTTTTCTGCTGTCTTTTGAATCTGGCTCCACGACTTCCCACAGGCTTTCATCTCCTCCTCACATGATCTCCTCCATGTCACCCTCACCTGGAACGCCCAACTCGTCCCTCCCCATTTGGATTCCACTCGAGGCCTGGCGCGTGATGTCCCCGAATGGTCTTTCCCAGTGCATGCCGAGTCCATCTCCACTTCCTTCTGCATATTTGTTCAGCGATAGGTTCTTGGTTGTTTCGTTGCAGGCCAGAGTTCCTTGTTGCTGATTGTTTCTGGTCATCTGATCTTCAGGAACGAGTGAACGTAGGCGGTTGTTGACGAATGACTGTAGTTTGTTGGAAATGCCTTTCATAACGCGCCAAGTCTCTGAGCCATACAGAAGCACTGATTTGACGTTGGTATTGAATATCCGGATCTTGTTCTTTGTGCTGAGTGCAGTAGATCACCACACTGGTTTCGGGTTAATGAACGCCTGTGTTGCTTTTTCGATCCTGGCTTTGACGTCCTCGTCTGTGCCACCTGTAGTTGAAACGGTGCTGCCTAGGTAGATTAAAGAGACTACTTGCTTTAAGTTTCTCCCGTTGATGGTGATTGGAGTTTGTTGTTGTTGGTGGTGGCGTTGGTTGGGTATCATCATCACCTCTGTCTTCTCTACATTCACTTGAAGTGCCGTCTTCGCTGCCCTGCCTCGCCTCTTCTGTCAACTTGTTAGTTTTTGCCTGTAGATCTTCGAGTTTGTGTGACATTAAACATAAGTCATATCGACGGAATCCAAATCTTCCACTGGTGTCTTTTCATCGGTCAAACAG